GGGTTGGAAATAAATGCCCCTCTTTTTCTTCATTAGTGTTGAGTGAAAAAACATGATGTAATAAAGAGAACAGGGAGTGTATACATTACATGCCATTTAGCCGACGCTTGCTTACTTTATTGTATCTAAAGATACACTCGTGCCCTGGGGCGACAGAGGCAGTGATGCCGCCGTGCAAGCTGAAGCCAGTCATGCTTAGTTTATTGTTTGCTAATGGATGAGATTGGGTTCAGAATCTGAAATATCCTCGGGCTTGTTTGCAACCACCACACTTTTCCATGAGCTAAAAAAAGAGGCCCCATGGCATTAAAAAGAGAGACTGAGGTCTCCTTTGGTCCTAAAATGTCACATTTCTGCATGAAATATATTCCAGCCTGCTCAGGTGATTAAACATTTAGATTCATGGCTAGACATTAAAACTGTGTTACAAAATTGCAAATGTGCTAAGGCGTCTACATCTCCAGAAGAGATATTTGAACGTTGGATAAAGAGTATCTGTGTCCTTTAGTTGACTTGTTAGTGAAAGGTTATGGTCGAGGGACTTGGGGGATTCCTCTTGGCTTCTTAAGTCACATTCTAAAAAAAAAAAAAATCTATTTTGTATCACGTTATAGGAATAAAATGTTTCACGGATTAAGCTGGTATTTTTGCTTTTTTGCGTGTTTTTCTTATGTGAGAAAAATAATACCAACAGCTTTTATTTGTACAGCTCTCGTGTTGAACAAAAATAATATTTGAAACAGATAAAATAAAAAGAACAGAGCCATCTGATAAAACTGGGCTGAAAATGTGCAGTTGAGCATTAGAAAATAAAGAACATTTTGCAAGGTTAATTTATTTTAGATTATTATTATAATTGACTGTCTCCTGTTCATTATTTACATGGTTATGATTTAACATTTTAATCAGTTTTACTTTTAGATATGCAAATGAGGGATTCTCCAGTAATAACTTCAGATCACTATGAATAAAAAATAGAACCAAATAATAAAATAAATACCTTGATGTGCATTTTGAATGTTTTTCTCCCATTAGCCTAGGAGGAAACATTTCATGGAAGGAAAATAGCCCAAATCTTAATATTGATCGGCGCATGTGCAACAACGTTTTTGTTGCCTTAAAAGAAAATGCACAGAAGACATAAGACACAAAAACATGTGACTTTCTCAATACGACTTTGAAATCCTCAACGGCGGTTAGAATCTGTACCGTGTGCATCTGCGAGAGATTTAAGTGTTCCAGAGATTCCAAACAATTACAACAAAACTACATTCATAACGCAACGTATCACACATACTTGCACCTCTAACCTGGTCACCGTGCAGTACTTATTCATTCCATGATCACTAAACTGTTTTTAGCAGCGAGTTTTCACAGCTACTAGAATGTGTGAAATATTACACCCGGTCAGCCGGTAAGCGATACCTTGGCTTTTAATGCAACAGATGGTGTCTACAGAGGTACTTTTAATTCAGTAATCTTCAACGTACCCTCAATTTTCAATCCCAATAAGTAGATCGCGCAAGCTGAAACAACACTGTTAAGTGCAGGGAATGCCTGTTCACTTAATGCGCCCTCATATTTAGTTCATTAAACAATTGTGACGAATTACAATCCCTTTTTTTCACATCTCTCCTAATTCTAGGTCAGAGCCAAGGCAATTTTAATTAATTAAAACTGATTTTACAAGCAAATAGACCAAACTGGTTTGGCTTCATCTTCTCATATGCAGCGATGTTAAGCTTTTCTTTGTCTTTGTAATTGACAAAATATCTGTGGAGATTTTTGGATTTTTGAAGATTTCATTATGGATTTTGGAAACACGTTATGGACTTAGTGGTTGTGAAAAATACTCAAAATTTAAAAGGTGAATTGATCAATAATTGTTAGAAAAATAATGTTGTATCACATCACAATAATTCATCTTACTCACAAGCGCTCACGTCTTGTATTTGAGGAAAGAAATGCAATATCTTAGTGTGGCCGTACTGCTAAACAGAGAAATTAACCAATACAAACCAAAATATTAGCTTAAAAAAAGAATGTAGGTAACAGCTTTGATTTTGTCATCGGGATGTTGCACAAAGTACACAGACTTTTCAATTACTAGAAGTATAAAGTATGAGGCTGGTACTCGTTGACACAGCTGCCGATCTATCGATCAATCAATCAAGAAATGTCGCTGCAGTTGACCGAGAGATGAAAATCCAATTACGAGAAGAAGCAAACGCAGCCCGCCCAACAGAAGGACGTTACACAACGGGCTAGTCGCTACCTGCCCGGAGTGACCGCGGCCGAGCAGGTGAGCAAACTTCCCCCCAACTTATTGACCATGAGACGGCGGCGCTGAAAGGCCTGCGGGGAGAGCGAGAGCGAGAGAGAGAGAGCGAGAGAGCGAGCACGGGACCCTCACGAGGGCCTTGCTCGAGTCACGTGACGCGCAGTGACCTCACTCAGCCCTGTTAGCACGAGCTCCAGCAGACATGCGATAGCTTCGCTTCGGCTCGCGAGCGTTGAATTATTCACATGTTTCGGAAGGACAGCAGAGCTCAGCCTGATGTTTCACACACACCGGGGGGTAATACAACACGACGTCACTGGGCGCGCGTGAAGTCCCTCTAACACACCTTTCCATTCAAACAGTTAGCGATGACGTGAACGCATTTTATTTTTTAGAAGCGAAGCCACATCCGCTTCGCTTTAAGAAAACGCGACAACAGCCACGGCTCGCCGTTTCTCACTCGCTTCCGCCTTTCACAACCTCCCGTGGACGACGCAAAGTGCAAAATGATTTAACGCGTTACTCACGTAATGCTCGTAGAATTTAGAAAGCCTCGGTTTCCCATGGTTGTTGAATATTAAAATGGCTTTAATCATGACTGTGGCTGAATGCGAGCGGGCGGGGGAACGGAGAGGGCTCAGCCTGCGGAAGACCGTCGTCCGTCGACTCCCGCGAACCCAGAGCCGAGTGAGGGTTCAGGCTAATTGATTTAAGGTTAATGCGGGATGGCTTCGAGCTGCGCGCTGCTACGCCTCCATCGTCTCTTTACGGAAAGATTCCACGTCGAAGGACCAGTCATGCTCTCCTCCGCCTCCCCCTGCTGCTGCTGCTGCTGCTACGGTGTCCGCGGCGGGTCAATCCAAACTTCCGCCTGCTGCTGCTGGTTTGGACGTGATTGTTGTGATTGTCTCTTGCTCATAACAGGGACACTTGGCTCGGGTCAATGTAGTGTGTTTTGTCAAAGATGTATTTATTTGTGCGTCCTCTGTTTTCTTTTTTGGTTTGACAAATGCGATTCATGCAACACCATTTATTTCATTTCAAGTGGAAACTAGTTTTGATTACGTTGATAATCAAATGCCTGTGCTTTTATTTATTTTGTTTAGTCAGCCAAACACTCCCTAAGTCACTTTATTGCAGTATTTCTTAACACATAATTTAAAAACACCTCCGATATCTGCTGCATAGTCTGTTTTAAACACAGTGAACGTTGTTTGTGTGAAGCATGCTCTGGTAATATAACTACAAGGGGAGCGTGATGTATGTTTTTGTGCTTTAATTCTTACAGAGATTGTTTAAAAAAAAAACAATTATTGCAACGCAAATTGAGAAAAGACAGCAGTTGGGAAAACCTTTTGTTTTTGATTTATGGAAATTAAATCTCCCTGATAACAGCTGTTGTAGACAACAGCATACAAACAAAATATGTAGATTCAACCAATATTTTAACATCGGCCTTGTGCATTTTCCACATTGAAGTTACATTTGCCTTTTTGAAAACATTTACTAAACCATTAATATAGTTTTAATGTCATTTTCTATCAAACCATGAGCATCAGTTGAATATCCCCAAACAGCTTTAGCCACAAGGTGGCGCCTCAGCACATGTGCTGTTGATGATGTGGCACTTCAGAACTTGCCAAAACCTCTGATACAAAGAACATTCTCAACTTTTTATGCAATCTGTTATGAAAGCCTGCATATCTTTCTCAGCCAGACAGGATTTTCCTCTGACTCAAGTTGAGTTTCAACAGTGGATTGGACCCTAACCCCTGGTTACTAGTAAGATGCTGAGGATTAAAACTCACCCATTGCTGAAAAAGGTGAAAAGTGTGCAGCTTTAAAGCAAAAGTGTCCCTTTCATTTCCATAAAATTCCTGGAAGAGTGTTCATGACCAAGTCATTGTACTCCTGTAGTACTCGCCTGCAGTGATATTTAAATATTTCCGAGCAACTGCTGCTCCTCTTAGAGCAGGAACAAAACACTTTTTAAATATGCACCCACAAAAACGTAGAACAAATACTAATAGTTTCCACTGACGTGTTGCATGCCTTTTAATCCCAATGGGCTGTGTATTTAGGTGGAGAAATCCAATGAACAAGAAGGATTTATGATTCACTGGACTGGCTGGACACATGCTGGTAACTGTGATGTCAAAAACATGGACATGATGATCTCTTGTTGTATCGGACCGGATCCATCTAACCGCATCAAGCACAACTTTATAATAATAGTGGCCCACCCCTTGTTGTTGTTTCATTTGCTAACACTTTGCTTTCTATTGAATTGGTGGAACGTTGAGCCATTTCACAGAAACGCTTCACTCAAACCCTGTATTTATGGAATCCTGTTATTTCACAAGATTGCTTATTGAGGCGATAAGGACACGCAGGTCTTGTGGAACAGCTTCTGCAGGGTTAATGAATCACTCTCCCGTTGTCCTGATCCTTTTTTGATATGACAACATTAAACCTGCCCCCCCTTCTGGAGGAGAGTTGGGACTCCATTGTTGGGAGAAAAAGACGGGGGAGGGGGGGGGCTGTGGAGTGTGTGTGTGTGTGTGTGCGGGGGGGGGGGGGTCGTGTTTGTGGCAACGTGGTGGAATTGGACTCAGACAGGATTAGTCCAAGTCGTTAGTGTGTGTGTGAAACGACTGCACGTGTTGCTTGAGTCAAAGCACGCCGAATAAAACACGTAAAAGTGTCCTCCCCATGGAGGGGGCGCGATGCCGCCGCCTTCGCCGCGTTGCCAGCGTTCCGTTCTGCGCTGGCGGCAGAAACGCACGTGGGCCCGACTGCGTGCGGCAGCCTTCCACCTCCTCCCGTGATGGTACAGTCCGACGCCAGCTCGCCCCCAAATTGCAGCGGCCGACTATAAAAAGTGGAGGACTCGCAGAGAGTTGGCGCAAGAGGAGAGATCTGTTGTTTCGTTCGGTGAGGAAAACTATCTGAAACAGGACCCCCATCACCACCACCACCACCACCACCCCCTCCTCCGCAGAGAGATGGAGCACACCGAGGTGGTGAAGCCAGAAACGCTGGACGACCTGATACAAACTTTGCACAAAATCTTCGAGAGCGACAGCATCAATGTTGAGGAGGTCCAAGACATTATGGAAGCGTACGAGAGCAACCGTCAGGAGTGGATGAAGTATGCCAAGTTTGACCAGTACAGGTAAAACACGCACACGCAAGAAAACAATTATTTGGATATTTGACAGTAACTTAATAATCGGATATTACTAATTTATGATCCAACTGCACTTTGGACTCGTCACTGTGTTTTTTTTTTTCTATCATGTGTTTCACTTTAGTTCTTATTGTGTTCGTATTTTATGGTGTTCGTATTTTATGTCTGCTATCTACAAAAAAACCCTGTTCTGGCTGCTCTAGAAAAACAAACCGTCCCGGAAAAAAAGGGAAATGTGATAATGGTTATTTATTAAGTTCTCAAACTATCGAATGCATTTGTAACGGTTGGAATGTTGGTTTTTCAAAAGTTAATGATGGAAGAAGAACACACAATCCGTTCGTGAATTTAAATAAAAACCACGTTGTGGAACAACGCATCGAGCCGATGGCCTTAAACCCATCAGTTTATCTCACAATATGGGTCCCCCATTCAGACGCGCTCAAAGGCTCCAGTGTTTTGATTAGCGAGGGGGTCCGTGGGGGGAGGAGAGGGAGCAGTGATCCAATCAACGCCGAGAACGGACGCACACCCGACGGACTGGGACGGCCTCCTGTCCGCAAACGGATCCGCAGCTGCCTTGAATCCATTGGGGTCACTGGTAGAAAAGATCAGCAGGCACCAAAATAACAATCTTCAAAGTCTCAGGCGTCCCCCCCATGTTAGGCAGTATGGGGAAGTGGAAGGGACAGTGAAGGACCCCCCCCCCCTCTACATAGTGACTCCAATTTTGAGTGAAAAGCAACGTGTGTTTCAACTGGGTTTCTTTTCAACACACACACGCATTTGACATGAACCCTTTCAGAACATTTAATTGACATTTTGGGGCAACGTCTCTGGGCTGCTTCGGCCTAATGAACCACATGGATCCCGTCTCTTGCAGATACACAAGGAACTTGGTTGACGAGGGCAATGGGAAGTTCAATCTCATGATCCTGTGCTGGGGAGAAGGCCACGGCAGGTAGGATGCTCATTCCAGTAATAAATAGGGTCACGTCGTGTTTTTCTCATCGTGGTTTGGGATCAACAAGATCTTGAATCACCGCCAATTAAAACCTATTCTGGCTGTTGTTTAACTCTTATCTCGCGTGGAAATTCAAGTCAGTGGTGATAAGAGGGTACTGTGTTCTAAGGTTATGTAAATGTTGTTCGACAATATCTATTGCATATCTTTGACAGGAAATGCCGTCTGAACTGAGCGTCCTGATGAAATAAATCTGATAAAATCATGACAACAAACCCATAATTGATTACATCGTATAGGACCATCAGATAGCACTAACAATGATTAAACAACTGCAATTATGTCACGCATAGACAGTATCTGCTGCCTTTTGAATGAAAAAAAATATATATAGCTGAGGCAGTTTCACTTGACCGAATCCCCCAAATTCCTCTACAGGACACATTTAGAACGGTGCGTTTTGTTTATGAAGAGGACCCCGTCCTGACATGGTGTTCCCGTGTGCTTCTGTACGATTTGCAGCAGCATCCACGACCACACAGACTCCCATTGTTTCATGAAGCTGCTGCAGGGTCAGCTGAAGGAGACGCTGTTCAACTGGCCGGAGGGTAAATCCAAAGGAGACATGGTCCAGAAGTCCCAGAGAATCCTCCAGGAGAACAAGGTTGCTTACATAAACGGTGAGAATCCGGGCCGTGTGCCGATTGTTTTCTCTGCTTCCCTCGTCTTCCGAAGTGTGTGCATGTTGACGGCGCCACGTCAATGCCCGTTTTGGGCAGGGACGGTGGTTCTTAATGAAGTGTTGCAGGGATGGAGTATTTTTATAGGCCGACACCTGGGGTTTGCATCACGCTGGCTCCAACCAGAAGTTTCCATTTGCTTTTGTTTCATTTCAGAAAAGAATCTCTGTGGCAAACAAATGTTACTGTGAGACCAGGCTCTCCGAAGTAAAAAGCTAACATTTAGCCATTTGGGCTCTTTTAAATGGCTCCTTTAAGACCCGTTAAAGCCTGAAAAGTCGTCAGAGTTACTTACTTACATATTTATAAATCATAGGGAAAAACTCATTGAAAAAACCATTGACAACAAAACAAACGTACTCTTCCTGAGTTGTCCCACATGAGATATGATTTATCTCTACAACCGTGTGTCCATTTCAACATCATAGAACAATAACAACATTTTATAACCGTCTCCGTCAAACCCCTGCTGACCTGAGTATTTCCTCAGAGCACCGGTGTGATGTTTGGTCTCCAGCCCCATTTCCCAGCGTTCCAGTGGCAAACTCTGAAAGTAGTTCTCCCTTCTTTTTGTGTGTGTGTGTGTGTGTGTATTTGCATATTTCAGACTCCCTCGGCCTGCACCGCGTGGAAAACGTCAGCCACACGGAGTGCGCGGCCAGTTTGCACCTGTACAGTCCGCCTTTCCAGACCTGCCAGACTTTTGACCAGCGCACGGGGCACAGGAACACTGTGAAGATGACCTTCACCAGCAAATACGGGGAGAAGATTCCATTTGTAAGGGACTCTCTTTCTTTTGCCTTTTTTGATACATATTACATGGAAATGTCCCGTCCCCATGGCGGAGTGCCTCTTGCAGTTTGCACACCCAAACTTTGCAAAGTCAAATTCTGTGGGTGGAGGTTATAATTGTGGGAAGTTGAACTCAAAGATATGTGATATTCCGACATTATGCACAAAACAACCCTGAAAGCCTAAATATATAAATGTGCTACGTGTCACCACCCGATGCAGGAGCACTTCCAGACCTCCTCGCCGCCCTCTGCCTCATGAGCAGGAAGCGGGAGGTTTTTATAGGGTCTTGATACTCTCATTAAGCTCAGCAAAGAACCAACCAACAAGCACCCTCTGGGGATTCAAGAATTCAACAGAAAGTTTCCATTTGGTATCCATTACATGTTCCTCCAGTTGCTGCTGATCTTGGAAGGCAAGAGAAGTGTAAAAAAAATAAAGATTCTCATCGAATGTGAAGGTGTGTCCAAACTTTGGACATTCAGGGACGAAAGAATGCACTTATTAGACGTAACGTTTCCCCTGAAATTCAAAATTTGCAAGCTCTGCACGTTATGAAATGGTTTCTAAGGCTAATGAGAAAAGCACCGTAATGAGAAACCCAGCGTGCCTCCGCTATAGGGTCTCCCCCACCCGCAGTGGTCTTATCAAAGATATACAGGTTGTACAAGCACACCTTAAGCATAACACTGCCAAGTCAGTGCATTATATTGCAACAGAAAACAGAGGAGATAAGATAGCAGAGGCATGTAAGTGTGACCACAGAGCGAACATACCTCACTATACGTCCCTCGCTCTCCTCAGGGGTCTGAGGTTGTTGTTTTCTTTTTTTTGGATGGATGAGCGATAAGCAGCCGGACACGTGTAATTCAGTGACTAATGACCCGACCTCTTGTTTTCCCCTCCTCCTCTTTTTTTTTTTTTTTTTCTTTCTCAGGAATCGACGGTCTCACAAGAGAACAACTAACGGTCACCAACGGAGGCCACGGGGGCGACGAAGGCGGTTACGTTTAAAATGACAATGTTGTGCGATTGATTCAAGGGGAAAACTGCTGGGGTAAGCAAAACGTGGACCTGCTATGACTAAGCGACCCATTTAGAAAATCAGGAGCGGGGGCCGGTTGGAAAGGACAAACCCAGTAATTAGAATGGCTTTATCGCTTGCCCAGTGGGAGCCTGGCAAATACTGATGAGCACAGGACGAATGTATGAATAGGCTTGGACGTGGATTGAATCTGGCTTTTGTTGGCTGGAGACTCTTCCCCAATAACAACATTCCTGTTCATCCACAAACCTGTGCAACCACACCTTTGTAAAGTTATGGCTCATAGTCACAGAATAGCGCTCTAGCATTAAAGAGAAAAAAAAGGAGGGGGGGGGGGGGGGGTTGGGGCGCGATATTGCTTTTAATGTGTTTTTAGATTTTATATCTCAAGAAAAAAAAAAGGTTTTGTAATCAACAGTTTTGTTATTGATGGAGCACTTTCATAGCTGTATTTTACTGTCAATTCTTTCCACTCAAAATTGTCATAACACCTGTTGAAAATCGTAACATTGTTTGTACAACCCGATTACAAGATAATGTTTTTTTTTTCCATTTGCATTTGGAAGAAAGAAAATGTAAAGCTTTTAGAGTTGTGTTGTTTTTTTAAAAAGTGCGATGGTTGTAATTTATTTGCTGGAGAGAGAGTGTCTTAAATTGGCAGGCGTCCGTGTTACTCCTAAATGTATTCATACTTTGACCAATAAGAGCCTTATTGTCTTACTAACACCACGTGTTTCACTGAAACTCAAACCTTTTCTCAGGATATTGGCATATTCTAATTGTAGCTGTATTTATATACATATATATAATATATATATATAATATAATATATAATATATATATATATATATATATATATAATTAGTGCGTAGCTCCCACAGCGCGGTGCCTCTCATGGCACTGGTCAAAATGACGCAGTAAAGGATTAATCTGGCCATAACTGTCGACCATTAAACACCATACTCTTTCACAGAACCTCATGATGTGTCCTCTTCATTTCTGCTTATTCTATGTGTCTCCTACTGTGTGTAACGGGCACATGACATGCGTGTACGTGTGTATATTCGTTAATTCATAGTCACATAAAAGTAGATTGCAGCAATTTGTCTGCAGATAAGTGTCGTCTGACTTCTGCCTGGCAAGCAAGCGAATGCCAGTTCGTTGCCCTCTGTACTTTGATTCAAGGGTAATATTGATTGGTTTGACCACAAAACTGCTTCCTGATTAGAGTACCAGATATTTTGTACGCTGTCTTTGCGCAACTGGCAACTTCCTGGCAAGCAGCAAAGTACACCGACGGGGACTGTGTGTGTCTGTGTTGTATTAGGGGATGAATTTGAAAGCTAAAGCGCAAAGACTTAAAAAAAAACAAAGTTTCTACACTATCGTCTTCGGGGGCTTTGCTGTCAATTGGCCAATACTTCACCTCTCCCTCTGAACCAGTTTTTTATAGCCTCCTAAACACTTTATTACAACACAAGAAGGAAGCTATCACTGCATGAGGTGAGAGGTGCGTGTAATAAAGGGGAAATGGACAGTGTGGTCTATCATTTTTTCAAACAAGCAACTGTTTGTTGTCTGAGAAGCTATAAGAACAAGAAAAGCAGTGGCCACAAGTCTCCCCAGCTGAAAGTAGACAATCCACACTGCAAATGTAAAGTCTGCACAGGCCTTGATTTGCCTGCCCCGTTATCTTTGTGCCTCCTTTCAGTTAGCCAAATGGACAGTTCAGTCACACAGCAAACGTCATGAGCCACATTTCGTCACTATTTGCCTTCACTCAGCGCAAACAATGTGTTGATGGCGGGGGGGTTTGTTAAATAAATGTCCTCAGGTTTTCCCCCCTGGCAGGTCAACCATGGCACGGAGTGCTGGCCGCGGTTACATAAGCGCTCCGATTGCTGCAGAGATGCACCTGTTTTATTGGAGGACTCGATTGCCGTGTGCCAGGATGAACGGGCTCAGCCAGGAGACCTTTACCTTCATGTGCCAACGAGTACTGATGTCTACGCAGAGATAATGGTGCTTATCGCAGATGTGATTACACCCTTTAATCAAAAAGCATTTGTTGCAGCATTCGATTAAAGTCACTGCAGGCTGTCCTCGTTTTCACTCGATTTTATGTGCGACAAACACAATGTTTTCACATGCGAGTGACCTATTCCATTCAATTATTGGCTGCTGTTTGACCGGTGCCCATTCACCTCAATGCACTGATTGTCCGGCGCCACCAGAACTCTGACGCAGTCGCACACACGTACGTAACCCGCAGGCACAAGTTCAAGAACGCTCTGTTTTTCTGTATTACTTTGCCTATTTCACGGTGTTGACGTCGTTGACCTTGAATAATGAAATCCCCCGTTGGCCCAGTTAGGAGTTTAGCGCTGAAGTAGCCGCTGTTAGTCCTGCTGACATATTTGGATGTTTCAGTTTCCGTGAGGCCTCTTTGTGTGACGGGACTGAGGATGTTCATGTTCATTCTCTACATAATAAAAAAAGGGAATAATTGCTGCATCCAGAAAGCTAGCAGACACGGGTGCATTACATGACACGTTTATTATAACTTTTAAAATAAAGTTATTAAGGCATTGAGCAAAGGTAGAAGGGGACAGACATATTACACATTTATCAAAAAAAAAAAATTGTGTTAGACATAAAAGGAGTCCCCAAAGAGTTTTTTTCTATAAAAAGCTACCATGAAATAAGGAGGATCCGACTGAAGGAATCTCCAGGAATCTACTACAAAAATACACATAGCATCACATTTTTTTGACACATTTGTCTCAATCCGTAGGACATTTAAAACGTTATTTAAAATGACGTTTAATGCTACGACTTCTTGTCCGAAAGATTTTCAAAATAAATTTGTACTTCAAAAACAATTTCTCTGGTCGATGGGTCAGAAAGACTCATCATCCGACTGCCCCCCCAGAGAGCTGATCTCCCTCCCAGAGTTGGCGTTTCCTTGCGTCTCTCCCTGACCGACCGTCACCAGCCTTCCCTTTCCCCTGTTCCCCGACCCCGCCTTGTCATTCGTAAGGTCGCTAGCACTTGATCTCACGGAAAACCCCCCATGAGACCCGCTGCTGTGGGAGGAATGACCGTGGGCGTAGCTGCCGTTGTAGCTGCGTCCGTGGGAGCCGTTGCTTCTGTGTGAGCTGCTGCGGCTGCTCTTGGGACGGCTGCACTCAGTCGGAAAAGCTTTGCTGAAGGGAATCACATTAAAGGATTTCTGGCTACGGAAGCTGCGCTCAGAACCAGAGTCGCGCTGGCTGTCGAGCTGTGAATATTTATCGGGTTCCTCTTCTCCACCGATACCGCGGCCTGCAGAGGCCTGCGTGATGGCTGAATATGGAAGCCGGTCTTCACGCAAAAACTCCCAGGCAGAGGATGCGGGTCCGGCAGTGACGGTGTCACCTGGGAGAGCAGGTGGGACGCCGACAACCTTAAAACAGAGATTGGGGGTTTGTAGTAACAAATGATTACATGAACCAACGGGTGCTATGATAAGTTACCAGAATGCACAATAATGGCAACACTCAAAACGTATGGAGCCCTATGAATGATGAAAAAATGCATCTTTAAATTTGAGAGAAACCTCTTACATGATATCAATATCACTTTTTTTTCTCTGTAATGAATGTTTATTACAATGTCTGTTGTTGCACTATAAAGTAAATTAATGAAATAATTAGTTGATTGTCACTTGCAGCAAAGCCTCGATTCACAGTACCACCTGCCCATGGCTTACAAGTTGGAACTGAAATTCACTGAAAACAGTGTTTTATGGGAAGTCTGTGAGAACGAAACTCTATTTCGACTCTGAAAACAGTGTCTTATGGGAAGTCTGTGAGAACGAAACTCTATTTCGACTCACCGATCAGGAGGTGGGATACAGAGCAAGGATGGAATGACCAGAGGTGCATAATGAAACAAAGTGCTTTAGTCAAACAAAAGCCCCCTTTCAGCTTGATGTTTTGCAGCTAAAGGGGGCAAGTTTGCAAGGTGCTGTTAGGCAATTCATCCTTCAACCAACAGTAGCAACACGTGAACTTTTGGGGGTACTCACGAACTAAACGCAAAAACGCAACGCAAAGGCAAACATTCCCGATCATCGCCTCGCACACACTTACTGAAGGTGACGCAGCAGTCTTCCCCTGAACACTGTGATGCTCGCTGCCAGTCAGCGACGCCGCACCGTCCAAATGTGGTCCCACTGTGGAAGAGAGCTGAGGTCTACCTGGAGGGTGGAAATCGGACTTGTCGATTCCAGCCATTGAAGCCAGCTGACCGAGGCTGCAAAAAAACAGAAGAAGGTGACATCTATTTAAGGGCACATGAATGACATTGAAGCACTACTGAAGTTGATGTTGAATTGGTGCAACACTAATTGTAGATATAAGTGGTTGTAGATGCAATGGTAAGAGGCATCCATATCGCATATCGACAAGTCTCTTTGCGCTGATACTGTAATATTCCAGTATTGTGAAGCAATATTTGACCAATTCAAGAAACAAATTGGCTCCTTGTATCTTCTCCCCTTATTTATTTTATTAGAACAAGCAAATGATTCCTAAGTATTTACCGCCTCTTATGGTGTGGGCTTTAAAAGGCCTTTGACCCAATATCAAGGTAAACCACCAAAGTGTATTCAAATACAAATTAAGAAATAAATAAAAGGCTCAGATAAATGAAAGAATAGCACTTGTTCTGTCCCAATGAAACTCTTTTGAACTGGACAGTGCCAGGTTTCTAAATGGAGGAAGCCAACAGGGCCAGAACAAACAGACCAGTGTATTTAAAGGGGATCTCACATCAAACCAAAACCCTCCAGTTCCGCTTAAGAGAACATTTACAAAAAGTAGCCCAGCTGTTGAAATTCTCTGTCACACAAGAGTCTGTCCTTCTCATAAACCATACAGTCTTTGTGAAAAACATAAACATTTTCTACTTCTCAAATGTAAAAATTAGAATGATATGATCGCAAGTGAAGTAACCGCAGACGTTTTGACACCGGTGCCTCTTCTTGCTGAGGAGACTGAAGAAGACTCATCTGTCCCCTCAGATCCTGGTGAACTTCTACTGCTGCACCATCGAGAGCATCCTCACCAACTGCATCGCGGTGTGGTACGGCACTTGGTTTTCTTGCACTTCTGGTTAGATGCTAAACTGCATTTTGTTGTCTCAGTAACTGTACTCTGTGCAATGATAAGTTGAATCTAATCCAACCCAATAAATGACATAGATATGATGCGAGCACAGACGGATGTATTAAATATTGCCGCAGCAAGGAATTGTGGGACAGAATGATCTTCTTGCCTTTTGTGAAGGATGGTCCACTGGTTCCTATGCTAAAGGAGGTAAGTAAGGAAGCATTGAAGCTCCTCTCAGGATGGAGAGGATTTGAACAGCTCTCATACTTCCGGGTCATTTGACTCAATTAGGAACCTTCGTAAACAAAAAGGACTATTCGAACACAGCCAAAGAAGGGATTGATTGAGAGGTCACAATGAAACTGAAATTAGTTCAGTCAAACAAAGACACTCTTTGATCCACCTCAATCCAGAACCAAACCGGAGCCAGAACCAAAGAGAAATGTTGTCCTGGGCAGTTTTAAGAAAACCTACCCAGCATCCTTCAGGAGATCCAGGAAAGCATGGAACTTAGTAAATGAGCTCTCAATGCTCTCGAGTAGTGCTTCGTCTTCGAGCGCGCTGACAGCGGGCGGCGCGGATGCAGAGGCGGTGGCCGCGAGCGCCTCCGACAGGGAGAGGTTGTTGTCACGAAGACGGGCGTTCTCCAACTCGTACTGAACAGAACATGAACGGGTTTCAGCACTGAGAGTTAAGACCGACATAATCATGCAGAACACACTGCAGCGGGGCATAACAAATAGTTTTACTCTGACGAAATTTGTGAAACTATGGCTACAGCAATAAACTACCATATGCTGGTATATTTGAAAGTATCGTCACCTCCATGAGTCGTGACTCAGCCTTCAGCCTGGCTCTGCGCTCCTCCGCCAGCCTCAGACGACACTCTTTTAGCTCCATCTGCAGGGCGACACACACACACACACACACACACACACACACACACACACTATTACACTGTTCTTCAAAGTACACAGGACACAGTTTTTCTCCTGTACACAAACCTTGAAACGACAAGGACGGGACTTACCTGCACATGTTCAAACTTCCGCCCGGTGATCCCCTCCTGGGGGCCGAGGGAGGGGGGAGGTCCCTGCTCCACCTCCACCGAGACTTCGTCGTCTTCCTCTTCCTCCTGACCCTCTGAATCCGACTCCACGGTAACCTTCACGGTGGCTGCACCCTGATGACAAGCATGCGTTTCAGCGGTTGGGGGAAGGACAGTTTGACTATGCTTGACGGGGCTCTGATCTATTTGTCAAATGACTAAATTTCTAGAGTAACACACTCTACGTGAACACAGGAAAACTTACCTGAAAGCTCTGATCCATCACACGGACCCCCGGAGACATACCTCTGCAACAGTCATCCATCAACCTAATATTAGTCTCTGGCAAACGCATTGTGAATAAAAGGAGGTGTATTGTGCGGCATGAAATTGACATTGTGTTTTATTGTGGAAGCTTGAGGAGACCGATTATGAACGCACTACAGCGTCTCCAGCAGCTCCTCACCTCTGGCGTCCAGCTCGCGCAGCAGCACGCCAGGGCACATACCCGGAGCAGGACTGGGGCTTCTGGGTCTGAGCATCACCTGAGCTCCGTCCTGCTGGGGCTGTTCCTTTACGAGTGGCTGAGAGAGAGACAGAGAGAGTTATATATGAGTACATACATTGGCCATTGGTAAATGGACTGTACTTGTATAGTCTAGTCTTCCGACCACTCAAAGCGGTTTAACACTACATGACATCGTTCACCCATTCATACACTGAAACCTGCCCATCACTAACGAACATCCACACACTGTAGTCACAGCTACAGGAGCAATGTTGGGGGTGAGTGTCTTGCCCAAGGACACATCGACATGCGAGTTAGCCGAGCCTGGGATCGAACCGTCATGTGACAGCATGGCTCTCTTCCTCTTTTGCTTTTGATACTACAGGGTCATCTCAACCATATCACACACTTTTTTGAACTGGCCGGCAGATTGTGAACATACGGAACAAGATGAAGCTCTTACCATGTCTCCAGATGACTTAAAGCCAAAAGGGGAGAAGTCAGAAAGAGACAATTTGATTACGAGGTAATAGACACTATCTCGAGGAGATCTAACGCTCATAGGTACGTTCACTTCTGCACAGGCTGGAGGACTTTTTTTTTTAATCACTACATAAATAAATTATTTTTCCCATTAGCTCATTTTCTCATTGCACAGCTCCTGTCTTCTTCTGCTTCCTACATGTAGCGCTGCCTCCAGTGCAGCTTATTTAAAATAAAGCGTTTACCCAATCAGATTCAGCTCCTGTGTCTCTATGTAAGAGAGGCCCGAGGTCCTTGAAGTAGACTTTAGTAAGTATATGGGTACAATATTGTTGACCGTCATATTCCTCAACCAATGAGATCTTTAGTTTGTATGTTGGTGGTAATCTTTGATGTGCCAGTAGTAGCCTAAGTAGCCTCATAAGTACGTCTGCTTTAACCTACACCGCAGCAGCAACGTGCACCCTGATTGGTCGGTGGGACTTCTGTCATACAGGAAGCTAGTTAGCATATCTTAGTATTTAGTAAGAGTTCAAGATGAACTTTGTCTGTAAATAGTGAACAGCATTTGGTAAGTAAACTGCTTTCGTGTTTTTACATCTGCAGTAGCGTGTTAACTTGTCTATGGTGTTGTTTTTATTATTTAGTCATTATTGTTCCCTCTGATGTAAATAATGCTTTTGAGTGATTTAGTGCCGCGGTTTTGATGGGATTGTTCTGTCATGCTTAGTTGTAAATAAATATGACTGGTTCTTGTGAGTTTGCTCTTGTCATTGAGTTAACTACATTGATTTGACAATAAGCATTATCCGTTAATTACGCAGCATCCCGTCATGTACTGAATCTGCAGTGAGTTTATATGTAGGTTTTCGAGCTTCATGAAAAAGGGTCATTAGTTATTCAACTGTAGAAAGACAGTAGTGAAGGCGCAGGTAAAAAATCTCCCCGCCACTGGTCTAAATGCCACATGCCAGTTAGGGAGTCTAACTGGCATGTGGCAAAACGATGAACCTGAACCTTTGTACTCAGTTACAGCCACAATATCAGATGTTGTATGAGATGAGCATTTCCCAATGTTTTATAAAAAAAACAAAGGGACATTTCCAAGGGAGGACTGTTTTGCCACCATAACACAATATTATGCTTTATAAAATCACTGGCGTGTGAATATAATGTCGGATTCGAAGAGAAAAGGATGCTTATACCTATCCTAAAAGCAGTTTTTCCCTTGACTGTGCCAGGGAGAGCTCGCCTCTTTGGTGCAGAAGTTCTTTGTGATTCTGAGGCAGCAGGCTTGATCCAGTGGTACTGCAGTACAACATAAGGAAGACAAATATGAAGTACCCAACTCATTCATTTAGACTCTCAATGGTGGTTATTGCTAAAGACACCCACCTCTGATGACTGTCCGTTAGCATTCATCAGAACCTTCTCTAGAATTGTTTTGATTAGGACCTTGTCTGAAATGAAAAAAAAAGGTTCACCAGTGGAAAATAATATATTTAGAGAGGGCTTTTCAGATATGTGCCTGTACAATTACAGTATTAAATGAATCACAGAGTTATAGAGCAATTATAGCAATTTTCTAGAATGAAAATAGTACTTTTGAAACTTGGTTTGAATTTAAATTGTAATTGGGACGCACAGCTTAACATAAACGGTGCGACAGCTGCTCTTAGAGGCTACAATGTTTATTACACTCACAATTTTAAAACGGCTGCATGGTAAAAACAGCCTACCATCCTATTTGACGATGCTCTATGCAATATGAAAACATGGAAAATAGGTTTTGGGTTGGAGGCAGCGCCTTACCAATTAAAGGGTTACTCCGAACATCCAGTACACAAAGAGCAGTATTAGTTTTCATGGCCTCCAGCAGACGACGAGCTCCTTCGTTGGACAGACCGCACCTCTGCAGGTCCAACGCTGTTCAACCAATCACAAAACAGACACAGAAACCCTGAGAACAAATTACTGCGAGGAGAATGACGACAAAATCAAACCAACATCTCCCAACCCACACGCAACAACTGACCTTTAACCCACAGGTCCTCCGCCATTTCATGTGCAAGAGCAGCGGCGCCCCGGTCCCCGATTAATGTGTTACAGTTCAGGGTGACACGGCGGAGACCTCCCATTCCCTCAAACTGTGGCTTTCGATACCTCAGAGACTCTGCCCATGCAGTACCATGCCTCTGCATTCCCTGGTGCTGCGAATAAAAAAAATCATGCCTGTCATGTGTATATGTATATTTATGTATTTTGTTAATACGCGTACATTTTAAGTCGGATTTGTTTTATAGAGTTATACAAATTTTAAAAAAAGATAATTCATGACAGTGGACAGTTCAAAACACTTTGAAATGGTGTGGTTGGTCTTAAAAGGGAGAAAAGAAAAGTCTTGAAAGGCACATATCCCACCTTGATGATGTTGGCCATATGCTCTGCCCCTCTCCACGTGAGATTGCATCCTGTGAAATCGACCGTCCTGATGCTCTTGGAATACTTCACACTTTGGCAGATGACTGAGATATATGGAAAATGGGAGTCACATGCTCACATACAGTGCAATCCTTCAAAGGCTTTTGGAAAGAACACTACATACAACATATACTTACCCTCTAAGCCCTCATCAGAGATTGGACAGTTAGCAAGAGATAGGTTTTCCAAGGAAACACTTTTTGAAAAACCCTGAAATAAAAAAAGAGAAAAGTGTTAAAAAAAAAACCTTATGATGTAAGCGTTTTTTCTGAGTAACTAAACAAATAACATTACAAGTTTTAAAACTCACTGATCACACTGAAAATCATAATATTCAGCATATTTATTTTAATAAAATGTAACCTTTGTTAAGGTGATGAGGTCCCGTTCCCTTAGTGGAAGTCCATTGAGCTGCAGAGTCTTGAGGTTGGAAGAGACAGTCAGACACTCTCTCAGGGCCTTGCACAACTTAAATGTCATGTCCTTAGAGCGAATGGCTGGGATCCTCTTCCGGAAGCTAGACTTATAGTACCTTCTATCTGAAACTGGTGGCGATATGATTCATGTTTTTAATGCAAAATACTCTTTCCAGTTTCAAGGTTGAACTTTATAATTTAGCTTATTTGCTACATGTTCCACAAATATAGAAATCTTCTGTTATGTTTGGTATCAGGTTTATTTTCAGCCTTACCTGTGTCTCCAAATGACAGACTAGCTTGGTGTGTGCTACTTATTGCAATGTGGTGGATGTGCTTGTTGATGCAGATGGAGCTGAGGATGGGAGGCCAGTCTGTGAGTTTGACCCTGTCTCCATTAAAGTCGAGCATCCCTTTGTCGAGGTTCATCTTAACAGCCGGGAGAGGGACCGACTCCTGTCTCGCACAGGCCTGGTCATAGAATGCCATGAAGTCCTGGGCGCCCCGCCGCCGAATGTGAACACTATCCTGAACCATGTTAGACCTAGGGGCTGAAATATAATCCCAAAACAATGAAGCAAACATATCAGAAGTCAGAACAATTCAAGGTTATAATAATGCCATGAGATCTCATTGACTCCTTTGGTACTGATGGGAAAAGAGTTTAAAAACTTGATCAGAAATTAGTGATATTTTCAAATATTTTAGAGAATGTTAGCAAATATTGGTATTTCTGTTACAAAACAATCATGTTCCCATACAGGTAGGGTAACACAATTTGACAGGTGTTATCTAAAATGCTGGAGAAAAATAGGGGCACGTGTGTTTTTAGAAACACATAGTAGTGAGTATGAGTGAGTATCTCTGTCTGTAGAGCCCAACGCTAACTTACACCTCTAATGTCACTATTTCATCAAAGTATCGGCCTTTTCTTTAAGGAGGACTTCCCGTTAAAGCTAACGGGACACATATACCAGCGTATCTCCGCGATGACGTTAAACATTATTGTGATATACAAGCAGAAATGAATCGGGTGGGCTCGTATTAGCTAGAAAAGCACTGCGTAATAGTAACGTTAACATAGAGAACGCTAGTAGCGTTAGCAGGCTAAGCTCCTAGCAACCGTTTGTAGTGACGGAGAGTTGCAGAAACTAGAGCTGCTATCAAGCCGTTTCAGTCATTCTCTCGGGTTTGTTATTGAATTAAATTTACTACAACTCAAACTAATTGTTTTTACCTTCCACATATGACTGCAGGCGGCGTGGTTAGTTGCTGCGTTGTCTCGGTTGTGTTTGACAACCTCTGTTATTGTTGACGACGTGAAGGAGCGCTCAAAAGTGGCGCTGTGGCGTCAGTTAAGCCACGCCCACACGCATTCCTCGCTTAACGCTATGTGAATTCCCGCAGAGCGCTGCTGCCCCCTGCTGGGGCGGAGGCACAGGTCACTCTCAGGACTGGAGCGATACTCCACGAGTCCACGAGAAGACATGCAGAGACAAGAACGCATATTGCGAAAAGGTCATAGACATCTAGTCTTGTAAAATGATGACTAATATACATTTCCAAGGTCATTGGATGAAATGGTATTATTATTATTCAACATCATTTCTGCACATGCATACTTGCATATGTTTGCACATACAACGCTGTGATTTGCTGTATATATCCGTATATGTTCTTAAAAAAATGTAAATAATCATCATGAAATGGTATGTATATAGTTTTTCGTTTCTTTTGTCGTGCTGCTGTGTATTTCCACAAAGGGGATCCATAAATGTCCGTCTTAGTGTTATCTAGAATAGGTCAATACATGTTTCATTTCCCCCATTGAAGGGTTTTCATTTTTAGGGGAGTTTTCGGGATTTCGTGGTTTCGGGACAGAGGATGTCGCATGTGTACAGACTGTAAAGCCCTCCGAGACAAATTTATAATTTGCGATTTTCGGCTATACGAAATAAAACGAATTGAATTGAATGAGAACAAACCATCACTATACAACAACAAACACTAAAAAATGACTTTGCATTCGTGTAGGTCTATAATGTCCAAATTGAAGCGCATCTCCACAACGCCCACTCCCCAGTGGAAACGTAAGCTCATTGGTCAGCACGCGTGTCAGTCAAACGCCGTGTTGCTCTTTTCCAGTAATCCCAACCTCCTCTGAATTTATTGGGAATGCTTTTTTATCAACCGAGCACAAGAGACCAGCACAAGGGGAAGGCTTTTTAAGAACTTAAATACTGGACATATTTAGCCGACGTATTTAACATCACCGAAAAGGACTTCTTGCCACAACCGAGGTGATTTCGTTGTTATTTGTGAACTTTTAACGGTAGTCCGTGTCGGGCAGCTAACATCACCCCAGCTAACGTTAGCCGTGTTTTTCAGAACATCCGTGGCCTCTAGTATAGCCTCGAGATCGTTTTACATCTTTGACATTTAACACGGAGCCTCCAAATCGCGATAACGTGTTGTTAGAGGTCCCGCTGACGCGGCGTGATCCCCGTGTGATCCCCGTGTGTCGGTTGTTTACGACGGGACGTGTAACGTTCAGCGGTAGCTGCGTAACGGCGACGGGCGTCATGCTGCCCGATGGCCAATGCTAACGATGCGGTCCGTTTGGGACGGGTCCATTTAGGATGGTCCGTGTCGGGACGGGTCCGTCTGGGATGGTCCGTGTCGGGACGCCCGCATTATTCTCTCTGGAGGCGCAGAACCCGATATTACACAAACAGATGGACAAACGGGCACGTGTATATTATTATAATCTTTAACGCTATTTGTGTGATACGACAATGTTTGTTCTGATCAACAAATTTAAATGTTTTTTACATATATTTTGAATGCATGCTGATCGCTTCTCTCTCACAGACAAGGACAATGTTACACTTTGTTGTGCACAGGAGGGAAATGTAAACGTGTATGGCGTACATACTTTACATAATTTAACATACCACACTCAATACCTTTACAGGTAGAAATCCATATTCATTATTTTAATGTTTTCTTTAATGGTGACGTTTGCTCAAATATGTGTCTTAGGTAGTGAGTTAAAAACTATTGCTAACTCACTAACTACCTTTTTCAGGAAATGGAACAAAAGTTGTATGTGTTGCAGCCTCTTCACTGGTTTTTAGTGTAACACATCTGCCATACACCAAAACAAGGGGCATTTGTAAAAAAAAAAAAAAAGTGTGTGTGTGGGGGGGGGGGGATAATTATGTCAAGTAAATTGGAAGCAAAAAATCTAAAAGTGAATAGGGGATTTCTAAATTGAATTACACCTCCTCACCCCTTCAATTTGCAAAGAATTGCAGGGAAGGGAGGAAGGAAGGAAGGAAAGAAACCATTTCTGGTTGAGGTCCAAGCGCCACACACACACACATACATCCGCCCACACAGAAACAAATGCCCTGTCCTCACTGAGGTCAGAGCACACACTCCTCCGTTACCTCACCCAGCTTCTAACTTAATTACTTAATCTCACTCGCGTCCGGTCTTCTCTCTCTCTCTCGTCCCATTTGAGGGTCAAACATAATTAGCAGCCTCTTTAGCTCATGTTACAAAATGTCACCGCACTTCTATAGCAAACCAGAGGCTCTGTGCGCTTAGTTCCTTGGTGGCGGCGGCCGTCGTGTGACCGAGTACTGCGACTACGCGCTGGGTGTGTAGGCCCGAGGACAAACAACCCGGGTTTGGCTCCAGCTGCCTCCCCAACTGAGGCTTTGTTTTCAGTTTTAGGAAATGTGGTTGTGATAGTAAGGTGCTGAAAGCTCGCTGGCTGCGTCGACTGTGTGATGATAAAATGGCCCCTCGGTGCTTCTATAAAGCTGAGGTAGTTAAATTTTTGTCCTGGCGTCGTCCACAGCGATGATTAACATTCCCCTTCATGCTTAACTTTAGACGTCTGGCGTTTGCTTCGCTCCGAAATGAATGGTTAATCAAACACGCATCTTGTTTGTGCGCGCCAGTGTTTTCTCACTTGCACAATCACTGACCACACACTTGACCGTGTGTTGGGCGTCCCGAGTGAATCTGTTCAGTTTTGTACAGAACTTTGGCTACAGAGCAAATACGGGGGACAAATGAGGCCTTTCGCACTGAGCAAATTCAAGGTCAAAGAAAGAACTGCGGCAGCGGGGTGGGCGGTCGGTCGGTCGTGCGCGGTATATTTTGTGTGTCCTCTTGGACGTTTTCCACGGCTCGCTCCGAATCTGACAGGACGGCCGCGTTTGTGACGCTTTTCTGGCCCAAAATGGAAGGACTGCAGGCGTACGGATGAAGTTTGGCCCTGGTTTGCAAGCAACAGCCGTCCTCCATGTTGTTGTTTCTTTTTGCAGCGTGTGGTCGCAGTTGTTACTGCTGCAAGGACAACGATCAGAGCCCAGCGGAGAAATATTGATTCGCGTGTTGGTGTGCATTTGTAGCTATCAGTTTCTTAGGGAGGTTTCCCAGAATCTGTGGCCAGCCCTCCCCCCTTTCCCATCAGTGCATGTATTGGAGGGTAAATGGCTCAGTCTGGAAAATCCTTAGGAGCCGTGACTTTTCCCGCGGGGGCCCGCTAGACCTGCAGCGGGCTCACAAACCCCTTTTTTTTTTTTGTTCAGACACACAAGTGTGTGAAACATTGCAGCTGTATGTGTGTAGTTGTGCCTCTGAATTTCATCTGGAGTTGAGGTTTGTCTACTTATGGTGCATTTTAAACAAAGTCAAGTTTTAAAATCCAATTCATGCCTTTTATGTTTTATTTGCTCTTTACAGACCATATGTGAAACCACTTTGGGAGTCACATTCCAGGTTTGGGACTCCTCCCTTATTCCCACAGCTGCAAAATGTCCAGAAAAGAAATCTGTAGAGTAATAAAAGATTATCAGGATGCACTTTGTGCTTCGTAAACTGGCCGTCATTTAGCTTTTGTAACCCGATTGCTCGTGTTTTGTTGCTTAGTTTATTTCTTTTTTTTTTTGCTTGTTGATAACAAAAAATGTTTTCCAAAGCTCCTTGGAATACTTTATCTGAGTATTTCCAGTATCCTCTTGTTTTCATCCTTATTATTTGAACCCTGTAGCGGCCTTCTGTCGGCCCGCAGAGTCTCGATGGCAATGGAACAAAAAATACTGATGGTTTGGAGTGAAACAGTGGAGTGAGATAAGCAGTGTGTGTGTGTGTGTCATCATTTCCCTCTGTGTAAGCTTGCTCTTATCTCCGGAACCAGTCTTTAGTTTTGCACAGAACTCCCTCGTTTTGCCCACAGTTTCTGCTGGGAAGGTGGGGTGGGACTCTTCTGTTATCCAAAGAACCGGCTTTGCTGGTGCGTTGGCGGGTGTGTATTCTGCACGGAGGGCAATCTAATGGGCTTGGCGGCACTCTGGTGCATTGTTTTATGCAACTAGCAGCCTCGGCCTGTCCCAACCTGTCTCTGGGCTCTGCAGCTTCTCGCTCGCGTTCTTAGCAGGTAGTTCACGCACGCAGGCTCATCGAGGCCGAGCCACAGCTATCGCCACGCCTCGTTTTGGGCAGTAGTCAGGCGTCTTTTACCACTGGTCAAGTCTGTAAAACATCAACATCCAACCACCACCGGTAGATAATAGCATTGCAAACAATGTTTATTATTTATTTATTATTATGAGTTTATGGTGTCAATGCTTTAGGAGTTACGCTTTGAATGAACGTCATTCTCTGACTTCTGCCCAGAAAGCATCGGCGCCTCTTTTGTTGTTTCACATTTGCACATGAATCAGAGTTGGGAGGAATTCAGAACGCAGCTCTTCCTGAGAACTGGCTCAGTGAGAAGAGTAAACTGGAAGGCATTTGATGAACTTTCGCTGTTCACGCCAGTGAGTTTTATTTTCAACCCTCGCCTCTCTTTTCCCGCAGGGCGTCCGTCTCTTGCCTCCTAAATGACTTGCATGGTGTTGCTGTAGCGCAGAGGAACTCCACCTTCGGGATCTGCAGACAGTAACTCGGCCAGCGGACCACCATGTCTCGCTCACAGCCCACCTGGAGCCCCGTCTGGCTCACCTGTGTCCTCGTGGGCCTTGCGGCTGTACACACTCTCGCCAAAGAAGGTAACGGCCAAACTACAAGGAGGTGGAACGCAAGTGTAGTCCGTTGAGTGCTGACGTTACAATTGCTTATTATTGTCCCGATCGTTTTTGTTTTCTTCTAGTCCCTGCCGTACCCCAGCAGGTGGACGTGTCCCCTGACAAGTCCACACAGCAACTGTCCATATCCTGGCTGGGAGGAGCGGCGGCAACCTTTGACCTCTTGATTCTGAGAACTGAATTGAATGAAACGGTCTTCTACGTAAGAGCTCGTCTCTGTTACTAATTTGTTCTGATACTTTCCTCATGCAAAGCTGTGCTACACGGCGGCTTGGTTGTCATGTGAGAGAAGGGTTTTCCCTGATTATGATTATGGTACACAGCCCAAAATATATATTTTATGCTACTCAGAACAACATAAAACAATATATTTTTAATGGGGTCCAAGCACTTGTTTGGCACTCTGTTTATCTAGTTTATTGGCCTAGTTTATCTTTTCCTGCTTGAGCTATGACTGTGATCGGCAACAATCAACCACCCGCTTCATGTTCCTTCTCCCGGTGTGTCGTCCTCAGGAGACGGTGTCGGTGTCGGTGAACCAGGCGAGCGGACGGCACCAGTGGACCTGGACCTCAGTCGAACCCCTTGAGTGCACGTCGCTGTCCGTCAGGATTCGCTCGAGAGACGGACAGACGACGAGTGACTGGAGCAGCACTGAGACACTAGGTCAGGGCGGCGATAATCCAGTGCTTTGCCTGCCCCTGTCAATTTGGGATTATTAACTGAAATGTTGCTTGGCCTCTGAAAGCTCGTGCTTACGCCCACACAAACGACCGTCCACTGTACATAAATATAGCCGGACCTCTATTTACACCTCCGTCTCTCTTCCATCGTCTTTTCAGAAAGTGATATCCCGAGCAATGCGATCTACATGTTCCCCCAGGACCGAGTCGTCCCCGTGGGGAGCAACACCACCTTCTGCTGCATTGTGGAGAAAGGGAAGCAGTTGCGTACCATCAAGTACGACAGCACGGTCATGCACCCGACCCCACTGAGCAGTCGGAGTTACTCCGTTACGGCTGTGAACCAGACGCTGTCCAACAGAGCGGGATCCAACGTCGTGTGTCGCGACACGCCGGAGGCTAAAATGAACGGAGCCGTGGTGTTTGTCGGATGTAAGAGGGTTTACTGAAATGTGAATGGTTGTCAGATGGGTGAATGGGCTGTGGAGGGACAGACGGAGGGAGGGAGGGTGGGACATTTTCATTACATCTTTGTAGTTACATCTGTCCATGTGAACTCGATTTATGTACGTACATGACTTGCATGATACATTGAGTGCGCGTCGCCCCGTGTCACCAGATCCGCCCCGGCCCAGTGATTTGGTGTGCGAGACGCATGACTTAACCTCAGCCGTGTGCCGGTGGAAGGGAGGACGAGACACGAACCTGTACGGCAAGCGAGGAACGAAGTACATGCTGAACAACAGGTACCGCAGTCAAACACAGTGGAGTCCTCAATTAAAACTCAAGCGAATGGCCGTAACTCGCCCTGACACGTGGACTCAAGCTCCACGCACCCTTGATCTGTTTTATAACCGCTCACAACCTGCAAAAAAAGCACGACTATTAAGGACAGACAGACTCCCCCCCCTCAGTGTAGTAGTGAGATCAGCTAAACGACGCAGACAACACGCACATTGGAAAGAAAGAGATGTTAATGTCTTACTGACTTGGATATGAAACACCTGATGGAAATGGATGAAGGTAAAAACACAGAATATTGGAAGGAGGGGGGTGGGGTGGGGCAAAAATGAAATTATATAATTTTGAGCAGATTCACAGCAACACCTTGGCGAGCCAGGATGGGGTTTGATGTCGCTTTGCTTCTTGGAAAATGACCCATTATTGTCTTTCTCTAAAATATTATTTTCATCCCAGGAAAAAAAGACAAAATCAACAAGGTTGAGCAGGGATGGCAAGAGAGATAATGCACTTAGTCTGAGTGACCACTTTCCCCATTAAAGCCAGTCCGTCTGTCTGCCAGACCGCTTGCAGGAACCGTTCTGATGGCCGACGTCAAGACGAGTCCCATTATGAATGTGTTTGTACCCGTCAGATTCAGTCGCGTGGTTACTTTAGTGGTTGTTTGGATCTTCACCCTGCTTAGCGAATCTACTCTTTATTTTCGTTTGATGTCTCTTTTATTTCTTTTTTGCAGGCAATGTATCGCGAGCAGCACGGAGGACAAGCTTGAAGGGTGCAGTGAAACCTGGTGGGAGGGGAACTGGACCCTGGTAGCTAAGAATCCTCTCGGCCAGCACGTCCTCACCGACGCTGCTGAGCTCATTCACAGAGGTGGGTGTTTCACCCTTGACCTTTCCACCACCAGCGGGAGGAAGTCTGCATGGAGATAGAAATAAGTGGAAAATAACATCCAACACACTGTACACCTTTCCTCCCCAGTGCGTCCAACAGCACCAGAGAACCCGACGTCCGTTGTCACTTCCTGGAACGCCACTGTGCGCTGGGGTTGGAAGTACGACGTCTATTCCTCTCTGGCCCTCGTCTGCCAGGCAGAGCTCACGCCCAAAGGCGACCCAGCCAAGGTGCGTTGTGTCAGACACACCACTCCCTTTGTTCCGCCACTTTGCAGCACGCCAACGACCAGCCGCGTCACTCTCTGTGGACCAAAGCGTGCATGTGCATGTTCTGTCGGCGTTCGCGTCCCTCCGATCTATCAGTAACAAACGTCTCCTCCCAGCCTTCCCAGCACACCTTCTCCGGTTTGGGCCTGCGGTCGGTGACGCTGTTGGACCTGTACCCCGATGAGGAGTACGGCGTTCGGGTTCGCTGCGGTGCACAGCACAATTTCTGGAAGTGGGGAAACTGGAGCGAGACGATTTCCTTCAGAACCAACACTTATGGTAAAGGGTTTATTCTGAGTGACTCTCTAACTGTGGGTCACATTTCAGTCTTTGAATCATGGTTTAGCCTGTAAACATGTTGTCTGTGCAAAAACCCAAATTGATTGAAGGAAAAGCCGCTAATTTTCACATTTTGGAAGCTAGAACTAATTGATATGATATGAATGATAATAATTATGCTGTAAATCAGTCTTCAGTGAAATGGTGTCAGGATGCTGTTATAATCCTAAATAATAAGTATTAATTGCTGTGAAGTATACATAGAATGTAGTATTTATAGTTAAAAAAAAGAAAGATGTTATTGCTGTTCAGGTTGAACCTGTGCTGAGAATTTGATTTAATAATAAGCTTTCAAGCTCAAAAGATTTTAATTTTATTCTTTAGTGTTTATCTTTTTTATTGCTCCAATTCTTTTTTGAAATTTGCAGTTAGAAAGCGACACATGTGTGATTGTTCCCTGTCTTCTCTCAGCTCCAGATGCTCTTGATGTGTGGATGTGGATGAACAAAAACTACCCCGCACAGGTCCTTTGGAAGGTATGTTTTAATTCTGAATGTCTTTGAATTGCTTTAGTTTTGATAGTGTATATGTACTATTTGTTTTATTACTTTTAATGGCACGTTCACACCATTAGATGACGCAGACTCCTCTCAGGGTTCTTCTACTTGGATTGCTATGCTTCCTTTACTCTCAACCTGTTGTGAATGTACATACAGTGACCACCTCCGCCTCCCTTTCACTTGGTTTCTTCCAGCCTCTGACACCAAGACAAAGCCATGGTCCGATCACAGATTATGAAGTTACTCTGTGGAGCTCCGAGGAAAATCTACAGCGCACAGCACACATTCCCCCGGATACTTCTGCTGAACTAGTCAACCTCACGCAGATCACGACCCTCGGCAGCGACAAGATCACGGCCACCGTCGTTGCGAGGAACACCGGTGGGGAGTCTCAACCTGCAAGTGTTCATATACCACTACGTCTGACAGGTACGTGGAATTGGAGAATGAAAGTCCGTTGCTCACTGGCTCTGAATACACGCACACAGACGGGGGTGTAAGGGGTGTTGTTCAGTATCGGTGTGTATCAGTGTGACAGGGAGTTTACATATGGGGCGCAGGTAATGATGGGTGACCGCACGGCTTTTTACCGCTAGTTAAGACGGACAGAGTGAGATCGAGATCAAGTCTTATAAAGTGTCAAAAGTAATAAACGGGAACTCCATCCAAGGAGACAGAAGACGAGCAAGGAACAGGATCTTCTCCTGCACCCGGCCGGGGGGCTTACTGATAATATATATATATGTTATTGTTATTCTGTCTCTTTATTTGCACAGCCGCAGGTACTACACGTTATAAAACAACATGGAGACACGCACTTTCTCCATTGCTGCATGTGTGTTTTTTTCTCCTCTCCAGACGTGGAACCCCGTTCCGTGTCCAGGGTCTTCTATACAGACGGGGGCTTCCCGCTGTCCTGGGAGCGCGACGACAACGCCACCGGTGCCTATGTGGTAGATTGGTACAATGCCGTGTGCAGCTCGTTGAAAAACTGCCCTGTGGGCTGGATCAAGTTGGCCGCCGGAAACACTTCAGTCTCCGTTGAGTCAGGTATGCCGGCAACAAGGCCTCCATTTTAAGCATCTTTTAAACGTGAGAATAGGAAACAAACTGCGTGTTATTCTTGGCCATGGACGTTGTTTTAAAAAAAACAAAAAACCCTCTCATTGCCTTCAGCCGACTTCCGGCCGGGTGTGATGTACAACATCTCCCTGTACAGCAGCACCTCCGAGGCCCCGGAGCTGCTGCAGCGCTGGCAGGGATACATCCAGGAGCTGGGTGAGGATAGTACCACCTTGTAGCCGACTCTGCGTCCTTTTAATCGCGGACTCTCTGTAATGCTTCTCGCCGGGCCGGTTCTGTTCTCCCACAGTGCCGTCCAGTTCTGTCTCCCTGTCGACAACCCAGCAGGACGCTGACATTCTCCTGGCCTGGGGAGAGATCCCGCTGGCCAACAGAAGAGGCTTCCTGCTGGGCTACAACGTCTACATCAATAATGGCACCCAGCTCACGCTTCTCGGTAAACGTATACACAAATATTTGCAGGATTTCACTGCGGCACAAAGCGTTTTGTATCCTGTTCCTCATTTAGTCTCACTTTTCTTTCCTTCCGTTGCCTCTCTGTGGCGTTTGACCCTGTGAACAGCCAATCTGTCTGACCCGGGAAGCAGGAATTACACAGTAAAAGGCCTCTCCGAAGGCTCCTATAAGTTTACCATCAAGGCCTACACCTCAGCAGGAGAGGACACGGGCGCCACCGCCTCCATAATGCTGGAGCCATACGGTAGGTGACTGTGTAGTTATGTGTGTCTAGCTCCGACTGGTGATCAACGTGGTTTTGATTATTCTGCAACCATTGCTTTTATTGTATGCCACAACACATGCCTGGATTAATACATGAATATGTTGCTTCTGGTTTAATGAAACGTTTTCTCATTGTCTTGTCCGACCAGCTGATTGGCTGATACTTGAAATCTTTGCTTCCCTGGGAATCACATCCGCGTTCCTGCTTATCGGCACCATCTTCTGCTATAAGAAAAGGAAATGGTGAGTGTGTTTCGCTCCTGTTTCCTGTGTTCTAAGAGCAGTACATCACCCCTGATATCCACCACGGGGGTGAAAACCCAGTACAGGCCCCACTGTGTCCAAGACCAGTTGGGTTGCATCTTCATTTGTTTATGGGCTGCCTGTCTGACTGGTTAGCAGAGGCCTTCGACTGAGGCGGCCGTTCTGGTCGATGATATCTTAAAGTGTCATTTTCTCTCGTCACCAGGGTGAAAAAGGCTTTCTATCCAGACATACCCGAGCCCAAGCTGCCCGGGGACTGGTCCCGGCCACAGGTACGCTAGAAGTCTCATTCAATATGAGAAGACTACGCGGCGGTCGTCTCCCGTTGACGCGTACTCAGTGTGCTAACGCGCCGTGTGCCTTACAGGGGCCGCTGGATGTGAAGCCCTCCCCCCACAGTTTGGTCCACATGGTGGAAAAGCCCGAGTGGGATTCGAGCAAAGAGACGCTCGTCGTCATTCCCGAAGAGGACGAGGACGAAGAGCGGCTGGGAGACGACACCGACGAGCCGGCTTCGCTGCGCTACTACAACCACGTGGTGGACGAGCGGCCCATAAGACCCCGTTTCCCAGACTCCTCGGCTTCCTCCGCGTCCTCTATGGACTCAGCGCGCACCGACGTGACATACACGGGGATCCAGACGTCGGGGTCTTCCTTGGTCTTCCAGCCGGATCCGGAGGGCTCTTCCGAGGTCCACCAACCACCGGCTCATCCGTCCTTCTGCACAGGCGAGGGAGGAGGTGGAGGTGGAGGTGGTTATCGGCCCCAGATGCAATCCAGAGCCCAGAATGACGACATGGGACTAGCTTCCCCGGAGCCTTCGTTCGAACCCCAGGCTGCCAGTGCCGGAGGCTACAAACCCCAGAGCTCCTGGCATTTTGACTCCCTCGAGGAGGCCGGGGAGAGTCAAAATGGCCTGGCCCCCTCTCTCGGGTCCCCCACCTCGATCGCGTCCACTCAGTTCCTCCTCCCTGACGGGGACGAACAGGCAGACGAGAGGCGGCAGCCGGCGGCTGCGGCCGCGGCTTGGTTCACCAACCTGCTGTCATCCACCAAACCATGAGGTCATCTGTTGTCCACCACTACCAGTCAGGCCAGGAGGGGAGGGAGGGGAGGGCGGGAGGAGGACAGCGGGGGAGGGTAGCTAGAAACCTTCTGATTCCTTGCTGTTACCAGTGCCGTGCATCAAACAAGCCTCAGCCACAGTCTTGTTAAACCCCCCCACACTTAGCTAGCACTACTATTCGTACAGTTGTACTTTAGAAGCAGCTTAATAGCAGCTAATGAAGGTGCTTATTCCAAACATATGGAATGTAGTTGATTTTATCCATTGTGCAAATTTCACAAATCACACCCTGTGTATTTCTATATCAAAGCATTTCTGTTGCTCACAACAAATCTCGTTCTCCGTACCTCTTATCCAACCACATTTCTCGGACCCCCGGGGGCTGTCGCGTCCCCTGACTCCCCATGATAGGCACTACGCATGTTTTCAACCCTAATGACGGAACTATAAAAGTAAGGGACGGTTTTTAATTTTTGGATCGACACTTACGAGCAGTCTACAGTACCAATGTCTTCTGATGGTCCTCTGTCAGGATTACCTCGCCTGTTTCATGACAGCTGATGAGCTACTGAAAGGACAAAGATGGGTTTAAAGAGTATAGGTGGCGCTCTCGTGAATCAAAACCAAAGTCGCTCCTATCGCTACGGACATGATCTATTTTTCACACACCACTGATGAACAGTGGGATATCAATTGAAAGGTGTATTTGTGAATAAGAGCAGTGAGTATTTTACAGACACTGGAGTGGTGCTGTCTGGAATTGTGTGTGGGGGCGGGGGGGGGTGAGCCCGAGTGGATAATTACACTGATATAAGCTTGACCATGAATATAAACTTGTTTTTTTTAAATGTTTTTTTTTTTTCTTTCCTGTTGAGAAATACACAACCAGGCCAGTGATTTATTTCTATTGTTGTAGCTCTGTGTCGCGCGTCGTCCTCCAGTTGGGATTTGGTATTAAACAGTAATTCTCCTAGATGAGTAATTAAAGTGTCAGATTGCCTCGATAAATGCTTCCAGACATTCGCACCATGTCACCGTTCACACGCGGCCTTGCTCCTAAATGTTTATATGTAATGGGAAAAAAAAAAGAATATCTTACAATAATATAGTTCAGAAGTGTATTTTATTGGAATGGCACTAAGCTTTATGTACAAAGGGTGTCAGTTTTAATCCATTTTAGCAGGCGCAGAAATGTCTAAACGTTGGTTACATTAACTTTTTGTGTTTGTGAAAACATGTTTTTCTTTGGTCGCTCTTTCTCTAAACTCTGAGGTGGCAGATAATACACTTGATGTTGATTTGCTATGCTTGAGTGCTTTTTTAGCGAGATCACGTTTCATTTTCTTTTGGAGGGAGGGAATGTCATTTAATTGCACATTTTCTCCTAAAGCCTCCTTGTCTTTTCTTGTGACTGGAAGAAAGGGACAACTTGGAACTTTTTATGACCAGTAAAGTTTATTTTGTTTGAATTGGACATAAACGTGTAGGAATTATCTTGTGAATATTGGTCGCTTGACAGCACTTTGGCACCTCCGTGACGGTGCAGAACACAGGCCACTAATGGCCAAAGTAGACTAACCACACTTCCTTTGCCCTCCACTCGTGGGCACGTTGCGGCTGTTAAAGATGCCCCATTGGCTCTGCTTCCCTAAAGCATTATTATGCAGAGATCAACCCTTATGTGCCAGCGGTAACCAGGATGTTTATTTTCTGCATTTCAGAGGCAGGCGCCTGCCGACCTACGTGGCAGCCTTTGGTTTTATTGTTTGTCAGTGCCTTCAGACAGGAGGCTTCAAGTAAAAACTACTGTGACGGGAATGTTTATTAAGACTTTCTTTAATGGATGGTTCCACTGATGAACTGATGACAGGCGGGTGGTCCTCTTTGTTTTGTGTTACTGATCTGGAGAGATTAATGGGGGGGAAAGGATTGAAAGAATGAGGCACTTTCCTGAGTGAACCAACCAGCTGCAGTGGGAGATCAGTGAAGGCTGCATCCATTTCTGAGAGTTCAAATATGGCCACGGATGGTTTTTCTTTGGAGTTTGCTTCCTCAAACCAGCACGGCTTTGGGGAGTAACCTACGAACGCTATGTGTTACATGCATTTTATGTTGATTTGGATCAAATTATATTCCCCGTGCTGCAATGTTGCCCGCCCGGCTTCCCTTTTAGAGAACGGAGGCGAACGCTTGTGTTTGCAGCACCAGATGCATTGAGTCCTGCAAATTGTAGAGGTGTCAGCTTTTGACTGTATTGTTGCTATGTGCTGAAACACATTTAAACTTTTTGAAGTGTGTCTGAAAAATTGGGAAATTGAATTGTGGTCCTGTCCTTAAAAGAGTTCAGTCTGCTTCGCATCTTTATCTCATTACTGCAGCGTTGCTCAGCCAGACACATTATAAGTGGGGGTAAAGTAATCACCACGCAGGCTCCAACGTGGAGACCGCTGACATACAATTACCCGTACGTTTTGTTTTTTAGAAAATTGGAATGACTATTTACTGTGTAGATCATAACAATTCTGTGCTTTATACACAGCGCACACATCTTCATCTCTGGCCTTAGATGTTTTTCGTCGATGCATGTCGTTATAAAGTACTACTTAGAGAACAGCGCCTCGTGAATCTTTCAAACTCCTTGTTTAAGTTACTCTATAGCATTAAAAGACTCACAATGTTTATGGCAACATGAATTATTAACTGAATTATTGTGCACCTGAGGATTTATTTTTCTCAAAATTGCTTTAAATTCCGTCACATTTTGCAGAATATTTTACTATTGATTGAATTATAGTGACATGCTTCTGAGTCCATATGTGAATGTTAACACTAATAACACAAATGTAATGCAACTTGTTTTTGTGTTAATAAAGTTATCTGTCTGACCATTTGTCGGTTTGTGAGTGCTTTTCTTTCCACTAGCAGCGGTTGGACAGCCTGTGAAAGTAATGGAATTTGAGAGAGCCTTTTCCAGGTCAGGAAGTGTTTTGGAAACGTAATAAACCCAATTTAAACAGATTTTTTTTAAACGATGAAACAACGCTTAATGATTGCACCGATCGAATCAGCCACAACTTTGTTCTCTGTGTGGGGAGACGTCAGCCTACAACCTTTCACTATTTTTTAAGAAGGTACATTTTTCAATCCAACGCTTTGGGGATTTTCTCTCTATCTCTGATTGTGTGCGGGGTGGCTGCAATCAAGCGTTGCTAAAAATACATTCGTCCCTGCTGACTTTCTGAAGTGGGGAATTGTACTGACCCTGGATCAGTCTGCAGTCATTTCAACCCCGCGGTTTTAATTTGGGTGCAGAAAAGAGATCTGCTCCACGGACAGCAGGGCCCGCCCACTCCCACGGGCTCCTCCCTCTCCCGAGGCACGCGACTCTGTTGACTCGTCACCGTGGCAACAGTGCACCGCTGGGATTTCGTCCGGCTCTTGTTTTACAGCTTTTATTAGCGTGCTAAAGAGTCATAGTATTACAATGATAGCAGGTAATACTATCATGTAAGGATAGTACTGTGTCCTATTCCGGGCAAAGCTTTGAATAACGAAGATGTCGGATATATTGAGCCGGTGGCTGAACGAGGAGCTCGAGCTGTCACAAGCTGTTGGTAAGTGAGACTAAAGTCACTGCCTGTGCAACGTTAGCTTAGCTAATGGTAGAAACATGCTAGCTTCGTTATGCTAACTTTTTAGCTAGTTTCCGTTGAATGTGTTCACTGTTGGCATGAGGTGAAGTGAGTTTATTTACAAGAGAGCAATTTAAAGTGGTTCAAATAAAAAATCTAATTTATTTTTAATTATAGATGGAAATATAGCCTTTTGGGCTAATTCTGGCAGATTTAAGATGTTTTTATTCATGTGCACTGTCCCTTAACAAATAAGCCAATAAATAAATACCTGTATGTTCCTCCTCACAGATCCCAAGACCTTCGCCAGGGATTTCTCCAGCGGTTACCTAATTGGGGAGGTTTTGCATAAATATCAGTTGCAGAATGACTTCAGTATGTTCGTGAAGAAAGAGTGAGTTCACACCCTCTTGTTTTCTAGAGATATATCCATCATTCTTGCTTTTTTTCTACTGCTGCTGCTGATTTTGTGTTTTCATAAAGAGTAAAATGAATCACCTTTTTCTCGTAGCTCCTCCATCTGCAAACTGAATAACTTTACCCGCGTTGAGCCTACGCTCCGGTTGCTGGGCATCTCCTTTGACACAAACACAGCCCAGGAACTGATGCAGGAGAAGCAGGGTGTTGCCACGCGCCTCCTTTACCAACTTTACGCCTCGCTTGAAAAGAAGAAGAAAGCCGAAATAAGCAGCACGTTGATGGAAATAATGCAGCCCGCTGCCATTGCTAGCCTGCACAAAAAAGAGCATGAGTACTACTCCGATGTAACGGATTTAAACATTGTTATGTTTAAAGTTCACATTATTAATTCAACACCGCATCGATATCTACAAAAGCATGTGTTTTCATTCATCTTGCTTTCTTTCCTGTGTGACGTAGCGACTGCATCGAGTGGTCAGACGTGATGCAGAGCTGAAGCTACAGAAGATTTCTCAACATTATGAGGAGAAATGCCAGCAACTGGATGAGAGGCCTGTGGTGACCCAGCCCACCCAACAAAAGAGACAACTCAGAGGGAAGGGTGACAAGAGATTGAAGAATATTGAGGTACTGGAGATATTGGAAAAAATAATGCAATATTGAAATACATTTCCCTGTATGTAAGGCGATCTTCCGATCTCTATACATTTTTGACAAATATATCTCCACAGCAGTATTTTGGGTGTTGCACACTACATAACACTACAGCATTATTGGAAAAAACCTCCACTTAAACCCCAGCTGTGTGATGGTGCAGTAAAAGAAGGCTCATGCTGACAGGTAGGGGACTTTTTATGTTGCAGCTGCGGGTGTGTCGTCAAAAGTACAGTGACGCCATGACCTGTAACCAGGGCGCCATTGTCCAGGTGCCCAAGCCACCTCCCTACACTTCAAAGTTCAACCTAAAGAGGAGGCAGCAGCAGCAGCAACGCAGAGAACAACAAGCGCAGGTGTGATCCAGAATAAATTATGATGTGATCATTTAGAGATCCATGGGCAGGAACTTTGAGTTAGTACTTTGTCGTTAGGATGTTCCAACAGCGTTTTATTGTCAATGTTAAGGGGGAGGGGTATTTATTTGTTTACTAGATCAACTAGGGATTTCAGTGGATGACCCTCCCTGTACAATATCCCCTATAAAACAAATTGTTGTATTTTTGGCATTGTTGCAAAGTCTGTTCATTTTGTGTACAGACAGTGCAGACGGAAATAACCCAGTTTGAGACGAGGAAGAAACTGGTTACTTATGGTTTTGCTTCCTCTTCAAGGTGAGAGAAAATACAACACGTAATCCATCGGCATTTAGTATCATGTTTCTATTATTGGGGGGACATTGCATTCTAAGTAATCATCAAACATAAGGACAATGAATAAAGCAAATGTGATTTGAAACCTTTTCAATTCTAGTGGTCAACCACTAGATTTTCCCTTAGGTCGCATCAGCCAGGACACAGGAAGAGGGGCGACGCTGACATTACAATCTAATAGCAAGTATGTACAGGACATCCGACAGAGGCTGGAGGAGAACGCAGTAGCTCGCGAGCAGAGAGAGAAAAGACGAGACAGATTCCTGGTGGAGCAGCTCCAGGCCCATGAGGCTCAAGAGGTGCAACTAAGTTTTTAAAACACGTGTTATCAAAAATCTCACGTGTCCTACGTTCTTTGACCACACAGTCAGTTATTTTGCATCCATAAACTCTAACCCCAAAACCAGCCAAGTGATCAGTTCCCTCTCCCTGCAGGAGGCACTGCGAGAGGAGCAGCTGGTGAAGCGCCTGACGCGTCAGACGCAGCAGGAGCAGCGTCTGACCACCCAGCTCCTCCAGATTCACGTGCAGAAGGACGTGATCCGGAAGAACCGCCTGTTCAGAGAGCAACAGTACCAGCAGCGGAGAGAGAGGGACTTCCAGGAAGCTCTGGAGAGGGAGGCGGTGAGAAAGGATGAATAAGGAAGACGAATGCTTCTCTCTATTGTCCCCCTTGTATTAGGCTGCATCAGTAATAGTACGAGTCGTGTCATAGGGGGAGAAAGAGGGGAGGGTGGATTTTGGTAGTTTGTAACCTGGCACCTGGTTTTATGAAGGGAAAGAGAGATATGGGGATTTCAGAGACTGATCATAAAGTGTTTAATATTCAGTGTGTTGTTCTTAAGTATTGTCCTAACTTATCAGAGAGATGGTCGCACTGTTGACTCTCAGTTTGTGTGTGTGTTTTTTTTAACTGACTCTTTAAGAGTGAAATAATCTTTCCTCAGAAATGATTTATGCAGAAAATCACACGATTAAATGTACTTGCATATTAAAGCTTTAATGGGGTGCTATTGATACCGTATCGTTTAGCACACTAGGAATCTGTATTAAATGTCACCTGCTGTTTGTCAGTTAATTCAGTTATATAGCTGGCCAAAAAAAAGCAATGTGTTGATTCCTAGAAAAGATTTCTGTTAGTGTGTCTCCATTATTTCCCGTATAAAAAAACAACCTAGTCCCGTGTTTTGCACAATAAATGACCAATGTAACATCTTTCATCTTCCTTTATTACTTGCAAACTGATGATTAGCAGGAACATGTGTGCCATGCCTTCTCCACTCATGCATCTTTCTGACCGGGGCCTGGTCTAGGCTCTGGCTCAGCAGGCTAAATTGGACCGTGCCGAGGAGATCAGAAAGGAGCTTGAATTCTGTAACAGGATTGCTGCTGAGCGAGCGCAGGGCAGACACAAGAAGCACTTTAAGATCTGCAAGGACATTTTGGAGCAGATAGTGGACTTGGCCACCAAGGTTGGAGAATATCGGCTGCACACAGGGAAGTACGTGACACAATGCTTTTAATGATACAGGCGAGAAACATGCACACACTATCGGGAAATGTAAAAGTGGCTCATGGGGACACTCGATTAGCGAACAAGTGGAAATTCCCAAGAAATTGCAGTAGAACTAGAAGCAATCAATGAAACAGGACATTTTGGCTTTACTTCAAAACCGGGGGGGAGAAATCAAACCAACCAACCTCCCTCAGCAATGCTAATTTAGATGAGCCGAAAACACCAAATAGCACTATTGGAAAAGCATTCTCGTGCAACTGACCAGTAGATGTCAACGTCCTGTCTGCTTTTACTCGTGCTCTGATACACTATGCCGACAGACACGCACAACCCTGCTCAATGCTGTGGATGTATCCTGCTACATTTACATATCAGCCCTTCTCGTGTTTGTATTAAATATATTTGAAAAACCTTTGAGCTCAATTAAGAAAACCATTTGAATTACTTTGCATACATTTGCGCTCATTAAATCTCGCTTTCCCTTGTGTGATTTGTCAGTCTGATTCCAGCGAAGCCGATGAGAGAGTGGAAGGAATTGCTGTTCAGTGGCCTTCCTCTCTATGAGCCGATAAAGTGCCAGGAGCCGGGCTTCTCCGCCCCGCTGGACCCCGTTGAGCTTGAGAAGCAGGAGATACTCAAAAAACAGGACTATGACGAGTACACTGTGAGTTTCTGACACAAGGGCAGTGTTGTTAAATCATGCTTTTGTGTGTGTGTGTGTGTGTGTGTGTGTGTGTGTGTGTCTGTGCCCACACACCCTGAACAGTCATCTTTCTCTCAGAACATGGTAGGTGAGTGGGCGTGGCCAGAGGAAGCAGGACAGACCAAATTGCCCCCGACCAACAATAACATTCTAGGACACGTTGTCCTGCGAGTGAGGAACATTGTTCATCCACCCGTCGTGAAACCCTCCCCGCCTCCCTTTCCTCACTTCACCATCAAGGCCTGCGTCCTGGGCAAGTTGTGCTCTGGGAAGACCACCTGCCTGGCCGGGCTTGCCGAAGGTACACAGCGTGCCATCCAAACGCAGATTCAAGCACATCATTCCAAATGTGGATTTAGATTGGATGGCGTATTTGTTGCTGAGTGTGTGTGTGTGTGTCGGTTCCTGCTCCAGCCCATGGGATCTACGTCTTGTCAGTTGACTCGCTGATCGAGGAGGCACTGAATGCTTACCACGACGGAGAGAAGGTTAGGCAGATACAGCAGAACAGTATTGTTACGTCACTAGTGTCGCTTTTTATTTCATCTTCTTGGATTACGTTACTTTAAGATGACTTTTCAGCAGCTAGAAATCACACTAGTCTCTCCTGCCAGTGCCAGAAGTGTATAAACCTGAGAACGCCTGGCTGGGAGAGGAAAACATCTCTTTTTGAATAAAATCCACAGGTAACAGAACAGCAGGAAGAGAGAGACCACAAACTACAGCGCACATCCTCCACATCAGAGAAGCTTGGTGGGTTACTGGAGTTATCATTGTGGTATTTTATGCTATTTTACTTTTTTTGTTGCTGTTAAAATCAATGCATTGCAGAATTTCACACAGTTTCTTCTTCAATGTTCATTATGTCATTGTTTCTTTAGATCTGGACACTCAAGAGGAAAGCAGAGGCAGAATTGTAAGAGTACCGTAGTTTTTTCTATTTATTTATAGACAACATAAGCTGTACTCAATTTATATCACAAAGCAACCTGGTGATATTGAGCACTTCCTTGCTAATACAGTTGGTACAATTGACACAATTGAATAATGACTTATAAAGTTGTTTTTTTCCAGAATCAAACACTCTTTTTACCTGCTTGTATGTGTTCATGCAGCCTTCTACCCGGGCCATGCAGGGAGCAGCCGCTGAAAAAGAGCTGAAGGAAGGCAACACTATTCCTAATGAGCTGTTAGTGGACATTGTAGTAGAGGCTATCAGGTAAACACATAACACATACTGCTATAAAATCCTTAATCTCAATTTGACCACAAGCAATTCATATCCTAAAGTTGGTATTTCACAGAAATCCAAACAAACCATACAAAACCCACTACAATCACTTTCTAGACAATGAAATATAGTGTGTGTCCTTGCTAGGCAGGTTCCGGCCCAGTCAGGTTGGATCCTGGATGGCTTTCCAGTGGACATCAACCAAGCTCACCTGCTAGAAAAAGCCCTGGGTGGGTCTGTAGAGGAAGGGAATGGCGTTCTAAGCAGCGTGACAGAACTCGCTGCTGATCCTAACCCACCCGAACCCGCACCACCCGCACCTCCGGCCCTGGACCTGGCTCTGCTGCTGGATGTCCCCGATGAGTGTGTGATCGGACGTCCGTTCAGCCAGATGGGTACGTTATTCTAGCGTGAGGTTAACGGGATATGTGTGTGTGTGTTCAGTATTTCTCGAGCTGCCAAGTGTACGCACGCACACACAGACGAGTAACCAGTCGACTGTAAATGATGAAACGTTTGTGCGGTCGCTCCTGTCCCCACACCTGATGCCGAAACAGATAATGCTGCTGCTTCCACCTCGCAGCCAACAGACAAGAACTTGTATCTGGCACAGATTCCACAAAGGTAAAATACAGAAGAAGAATAAAATAATCAAATCCATTCCTGCTACTGCATGTGGAGTATCTAACATTGTGTTTCCCTCAAGGATCACAGCGTTCCAGGACACCTGGCCAAAACTAGAGAAATGGTTTGTAGGAAGGCAAAACATCTTGGTCCGCGTTGACGCAAATGTGGACGAGGTGGAGCTTCACAAAAGGGTGGAGTCCGCCCTGCAGCGAGTTATGATGCAAACACAGGAAGGTAACTGGTTGTCAGTCTTGTGTGTATTCACGATCTCACTCATTCTCTGCATATGGGCTTAAGTTCAGCTCAAAAAATGTTTTTCGCACTAATTTGACAAAAAAAACCACAATATTTTTTCACATTGCTCCAATATATTGCGTCTTCAGCTCTGGCCGATCCGTCTGGTGACGATTTGGTGTTGGACAGTGGGAAGGCTCTGGGTTCCTCCTCTTCAGCTTCTCCTCAAACTGAAGAGCAACCTCAGGGCCTCACACATGAAGCACACGCAGAGTCCTACGCCAGCCCCGACAAAAAAGAAGACCCAAGTGTGAAGTCACTGCCCAAATCCAACAAACTCCGAAGAGGTGGTTTAGTAGAATGTGGAATACTCATTTAAAATGATACCTACTGATCATCAATACCATTTGTTGTAGATATATTTTCCAACTCAGACTGACATAAATGACAAATACAGACTCATTGTTTTCTTATGGGCCAAACTGATATTTTAAGTATTTAGATGCAAACGTTACCTGTAGAGTCTGTTTGAAAAAACAGAACCCAAAGACACAGTAGCCTACTAAATTTATGATTCCTAGCTTTAAAAGCATACGACTAACACTTCTTGACAGACTTGTTTAAGGTGATTTCTTAAATATTATATATATTTTGATGCTGTTGTTATTATTAATCATGAATGTTTGATCTTCAATGCATCTGAATTATTTTACGTTAATATAGTGAGCACACAAACTTTTCTTCTCCTCTGATCGATAGCGCCATCTAGGAAGGCGTCAACCTCCTCAGTGACCAATGAGGACTCTCAGGGAGTCCCCGAGAACCCAGCGAAGTCGGCCTCTCCCTGCCCAGGTTCATCCGGCTGGGTCTATGTGGATGAGCCGCTGCCTCCAGTAGGATACCACCCCTTTTTCATCTTTGTCTTGCTCATCGGAGTTGGAAGAGCACTACTAACCTCAGTCGATCCTGTTGATGACAGATGACATTCAGATGCACCCACAGGGTGGCCCACTCACATGATTCAGCACTTAATTTCCTATGGAAATAGATGTCATGTGATCTGTTGGATTATTACACTACGTCTTGTTTGGTGTTCTCGACCTGTATCCAGTGCTTTGTTTGTCTTTTACTCTCTCTAACTCCAGGAGCTGCCAGAGTACCTGTGCCCCCATTGGGACACAGTGTGCGATTCTTACGTGAACAACGTCAAGGCGGTGATGCATCAGCTTCGCTCACAGCGATCTGTTATTGACCTCCACCTATTCAACATCAGGTATTTCGCGAGGCCTTTGAGCGGTAGTGTTTCTGAGGATAAGAATCACATCTTCACAACCTCTCAATTTTATGCCCCTGATTGTGGACAGTCGGCCTAGTTCAGCACTGGTCCTGGCCTTTTTCTTGAGAGGGCCCAGCAACACATGTCATAACCGTTCAAAAGTTCTTCACAGTAACTTTAATGTCATGGTAGTGCTCGTAAGCACATTACGAAGCATTTGCGTAATGGCCACCTTTCTGTGCCTGTCTTTTTCCCATTTATTTATTTAATATCAATTGCTGAAGCTACATAATTGCATTTGTAACTTTTTGCAGAGCCACTAATATTCTGTTACAATCAATTGATCACTTTTATGCTTCTCAAACTACATTTTGCTATGTATTTATTTGTGTCCTCTGCATACACTTCACTTGGGATACATTGTAATATGATCCAACATGTTGATACCTTTATTTTTAGAGGGGATTTATACTATTTATACTAAGTATATGTTACATGTATTACTACATTCCCTTTATCTTTAGAGAGGAGTACAAGCAATACATGGGGCGTCCAGACTTAAAGCAGGAGTTAGTATCTCATTGGCAGAAGGACTTCAACAGCATACCTGATGACATGAGACAAGATGAGGATACCAAAGCAGAGTTACATCACAGGCTGGATGTGAGAAAATATCACATATTAGAGAATGACATATTCTTAAACTGATCATGCTCTGAAAAATGCAAATGCTAAATATCAGGAAATGTTTTGACATTTGTCCAGGAACTGTGCGAACGTCTGTGGGACATTTGTGACAAGCGTAAGGAGAAGGACGAGAAAGAGAAGGATGGTCTCATGGCCGACGGATGGTTGGAGGAACACACCGCCCTCCTCGTCAACCACCACTCGCTTCTCTTGCAGGTAACTGTTTTGCTCCTGTGTAGTTTTTTTTGGGCCTCTCCAATTTTGTAGTGCATAAACTCACGCTGTAGACTACTCCTTCAATTGTGTGTGCTTTGTACCTTTTTTTATAGCTTCTTTTGGTTTTGTCGCTGTGTTTATGGCAAAATGGTAGGCGTATCTTCTACGTTCTTCTTTAGTTTGACTTGCAGAGGCACTAATGGTGGATAGTTTTGGTTTTCCAGGTAGAGTTGGACCGTTTCCAGGACACACTGCGCATCCTCAAGGTCTACTATCTGAGCATGTGCAGACAGGTGTTACCTGAGCTTCCCTCCAAGTTGGATTGTATCCCCCTACTGGAGGACGAGAGGCAAGAAACTTGCTATTGATAGCAACCTCACCCTGATGCTACATTTTAATGAAACAGAATATCAAATCAATCAATCAATCAATAAATAATACAAATATTTCCCGCTATTATAACCCCGCCGCAGACGCCCTGACTCCAAGACGAAACGCCAGGCTCCTCCAGAATCTGTCAAGGTCATTTAGCCATTCTGAATTCTGGAGTTAAATGTGTGATTGTACCTCAAAATAACAGAACGTGTTGACATGCTGATAGGAAGAGACATTGACACTTTCCATTGTAATCTCTAGTCACCCCATGAGAAGCTGATCTCCGACTACGGGGAGGCATGCAAAGCAATCAGCCACTTGGTAATGCTTTGTCAGAGAGTTTGCATGAGCTTATCATGGAGGTATTTGTAAATATGAATAATTTTTGTATGTTCTATCCATGATGTGTGTGGGTTGAATGTGTGTAGGTATCAGCAGAAGCCCACCAGGGGGAGATGAAAGAACAGAAGGAGGGGGCGAGGACTAATAGTCAAGAAGTCATAAACAAAATACATAAAGAATATGCAGCCGCACTGCATCATGAGGGTATGCACCCACAGAGAGTCAATAGTTTGTTTATATCACAATACATTCAATCATCGCATACATACGTTGTCAACCGTTCTTTTTTTCTAAGAACCGTCACATGAGATATATATCACATGTATGCATGTATGTACAATAATAATACGCTTGTATCATTGTGTTCCTGTGCTTGTGTTTGTGTGTGTGTTCCAGGGAATGCAGCAAAGTCACGCATTGCGCTGGTGAGAGGTCATGGTCTGGTGATGGTGCAGTCCCTGCAGAGCAGAGCTGAACAGACATCAAGCAGCATGCAGGAGTCTTTAGAAGCACACTACCTTGCAGGACTGAAGAGGTACGGCCTCAAGGATGGTACACAGTGTAACACTGCACTGCTGTCCCTGTTTTGTGTTTCTGTTTTTGATTAGTGGTGAATGCTTTCTATATTTCATCCACCATGTAATGTCACAATGCGTGCATAAATGAGAGCCCCCAGATTTAAACTTTTGGACGTGCATTTTAACTGTAAAACTTTTTTGAATTTTGTTTATTTGGAGAAAATACATTTACAGAATTTGAATGACAGCCCCTAAAGTTTTAGCACACAAGTGTAATTCATAGACATGTATGATGTTATATTTGTGCCCATCTCCTTTTCTCTAGTGTTGAACAACTGTCAGAAGTGGTTGGCCACCACATACAGGCTGGTGCTAAGTTGCAGAAGGAGCTGGTGTTGGTACGTAACAACTTTATAATTGTATTGATTTTTTTAGTATCCACCCCAGGTAGTCGCTGTAGGTTCTCTGTTCTTCTGGGCATTGTGACCTCAATCTCCTTCACCTCACTCCTCCCAATTTAAGATTCTCTAAATGTTCTGAATCAGGAATGTACAGACTTCCATTTAAATGGGGACTGCCACATGGTGGCCAGCCCGGCGCCGCCTCCTCGTCCGCCTCCTCATGAGAAACCCATGGCGTCCACGCCGACCGTCACTCAGCTAGAGTCGCTGCGCCGAATGCTTCACGATGTTGCTCCATCAGGTTAACACAGGGGCTACAAGTTGCAACGTTTCACGTTCTATTAATCTTGCTATCCAGCTATCCATCTATCCAATAACATTGTACCTTCTTTTCTGACTTTCAGGCCTCATTTCAAACTATGATTTGTTTAGTTTGCTCATGGATATCATCTCGGTGAGCCTGGGCAGAAACACCTTGCCTGAGCCCTGGCTTAACATGGATGAAACTCAGGTATTCTTCAAAACACAGGGTAGAGTAATGTTTTATTTTGGTCTTTGCCTCATAGCACCAAATGAGCACTAGATTCTGCTCGGAAGACAGTTTTCATAAAGAATTTCTGTCATTTGACCAACAAAAATTAAAACTGATTGTAGTCAACTCTCTGCTGACTACAAACAGTGCAGAGAAAGAAAAGCAACACACAAACATTCTTGCACCACACTATCCGGTTACCATGCAACAGATCTAGCATGGCTTACAGGAGCATCTCTCTTCTCTCTTCCATCCCCAGTTGTTGGAGATTGTGTCCCTCTTGAAGGACTCCTGTGAGCTGATAGACTGGCGTCGGTTTCTGCTCAGTGCTGCCCTCCCATGGCCTTTTCCCTCCTCATCACAGCTGCTGGACGTGCTGCGACGTTTCAAGGCAGCAGATACTGGCAACACAGCCTACGTGAACGAGGAACAGTACCTACAGGTCTCTACTGACACTAGTAGTTCTGATTTTCTGCTCAGACACTCATTAAAAAGGTCCACCTTTGGATAAACGTGTATCTTTAAGTCATCTATCTAGATAGGTTGCGTCTCCTGCAGGTTAAGTTGCTCCACTTCACTCCTTCCTCCCCAGACAAAGTTGTGGTTTTCCGATGAGAGTGGCCAGCCCGTCCCAGAGGACCCCTCCGAGCCTCTGCCTAACGACCGCCTGGCTAACCTACGCAAGGTGACGCAATTCCAATGTGAACTTTCATTGCTCACGTGGTTATGGTTCACTAAACCATTTGAAATGCATTAGACACAATCGAACAAAGACAAAATTGACCTGAACAAAAATAAATTACTATACAGTAAGAGGATATTTCAATTATATCTTTTTGTAAACCAAAAATTAATTTGAAAAAACTGATTTACAGTGTGCTCTTGGTTCTAAATCTCAAAGAGGTCAAACATTAACATTGTATGCCTCCCTTTCATCCAATTGAACTGCACTGCAAATAATAATTAAAATGAATTTCCAACAACATTTGCCTTTCACAGTTCTTTTTCCAGTTGTTTGCGGACCGCTCTTTCTCTCCTCCTCGACTGGATTATGTGTGCATGCTGCAGTACTTTGCGGCCGACCCCGACCCCCGTCAGGGATTCATCAGAGCACTTAGTGTGGTGCTTGGACAACATCTCATGCACTCCTCTGCCAGCCCTCTTGTCAAGGTGAGTAAAGTAATCTAGAAGGAAACGATAATTTCTTCCTCTTCTGTTGAAAACCCTTTCATATTCCCCAATGTCTTCAGAGTGTTCTGACTTAACAGGTAATAGAATTTACAATGCCAACAAAGATTTTGTTTGTCAGGTTTTTCCCAATAGCTGGTCATTTGTTTTGCAGTGAAACGTCCGTTGTAACAAAAGCTATTGCACATCAGTGGGTTTGCAGAAATGAGCAGCATAACAATGCGTTACGTGTACAGTCTATGCCCAGCATGCAAGAGGCTGCCCAGCTCAGCTCCTCAGACCCCGATGCAGACTACAAGGTAGAGGACTTTCTGTGTGCATCGAGCGCTTCGTTGGGGGAGAAGGAGGTGTCCATCCCGGCTCTCCTCGCCGTCATCTGCCACAAAGCCCCCAGGGCGAGAGGCGGCAGCGCTCTGCCTCCAGGCAGCCTCAGTCCGGAGGAGCACACTGAGGTAAAGCCCAGTGAATGTTCAAAGTTTGAGGCAATACTTTGTTGTCAGAATCATTAACCACATTATTAAAATGAAACTCATGGTAATACTCTTAATCTCTGCTGCCCTCCAGCAACTGGTGCGTGTCTTCAGAGAGCTGGGCTACACGCCCGAGGACTGCGCCCCCTTCTCCGTTCTCTCTCAGCATCCTTTCATCCAGCACCTCATGGAGACCTCAACACACCACCAGCTTGTGGTGAGTCTCCGTGTTGGCTCGTCTGTTTGCTCGCACTCGTCACCGTTATCTTTTGTCTCTCTCTCTCTCTGCCTCTCAGAACATTCATACAGTGCTACTGGCCCATCAGGATGAAGGACAGATTCCTGAAGGATGATAAAAGTATACAAGTGTCCTCACTGCTGAACGCGTTTGCCGAAATGTACGGCTCACTTCAGTGTTGAATGAATCCACGTGGGACACAACTTGTGTCAGCCTGTAGACACGTCAATGACCGTCATTCAAATGACAACAATAAAATAAACGATGAAAGGATTGACCCCTCGTACTTGTCTTTTTTTTTCCCCTCCCCGACACACCCCAGCAGTTTTTCTGACTGCCTTGTTCTTCTAACGACCTCTCTGACACAGAGACGCATTGGTCGCTGCCACAATGATAACATTGTCTAGGATAACCTACATGTCAAGCCTGACTTGCCAGCAACGGCCTGCCAGGGCGCCGGCAACCCCATGTCAGTCCATTCAGCAGCGGTATGTCCTGGAAGGCCCTCTGTGTCGTCACGGCTCTCTGTCCACCAGTCACGTTAATGTGCACGCAGCCTTGAGACAACTCCCGCTCACATTTCCATTTGTCTAATTTGATACGAGGGCTTGGGGAGCCACCCCCTCTGACCCACCTCCCCTTCTCCCCGTCCCTCCCATCCATGACCGCTGCAGGTCCGAGGCTGTCGGACCTCTCGGTGCCGGACTTGTAGAGGGAACAGAGTCACATGTGTCGCATAGACAAGTTGCTACCGGCAGACTTGCATCCTGAGCCCACTGAGTGATAAGGAACAAACGCCTTGATGGCAGAGTTTTTACACTTGTTGCGTGACGAAGCATGCCGGCAGCACATTTTGTGTTTTTTCACCATTGTCGACTCGACACTACGAGTATTAAATATGCTCTTTTGCACAGACGCACACAAGATCCAGAAGAAGACTTTCAGGATTCAATACGTGCACTGAAAAGAGGATTTTATCAAGAATATTTCACTTTTTCACTTTGGTAATCCAGCAGGTTTATTTTGTGTAAGATTCTCAATTTGTGTGGTTACAACTGCCCGAGTTACTCCTTGTATGAGTGATACAAACTCTCTTACACGGAATCCAGTTTGGAACGATTTTGGCAGGACTTGCAGGTCAGTGTGCGGTACGAACAACAACATGGGGACCGTATTCTGGATGTTTTCTCTTCTGGCTTTTCCAGTGCTTGAGTCTGCCAAGATCCTGACTGTCAGTCTGATTGGTGAGTAGCAGAGAATTGGTTGTGGAAGTGCCCTTTACCACAGTTAGTATATACAATCATTGGAAGTCTTTGTTCAGAAATATGAGAAGAATAAGCACGATTCCTGGTGAGCATAAAACTACAGTAAAAAAAGGTAAAGGTCGAGCGTTTGTGAAGGAAATTTGAATAGTATGTTTTAAAAAAAATGTTTTATTTAGTTATTTGGAAAACAGTGAGGCACGTGTTCAGACAGCATAGCGACTGACCAGATATTCCATCGTTCAGGAGGAAGCCACTACTTGTTGTTAGATGAGATTTCTAACAATCTACACCAGCGCGGCCATGAGGTCCGCATGCTTCTGCAACTGGGAAACCCTGTTATTACAGGTAAAATGTACACGCAATACAAACACACAAATACACATATTTAGAAAAGGTACATTTACTCAACTTTCTTTCCCATTATGTAGTTACTCTAATCTTTCTGGAAATTACTTTAAATTCCGGTTGAATTCCCTTCCAGGGTTTTCCTATGCAGGCCGCGCAGACAGTTACCAGATGACCACCTGGTCCATGGGAGAGGATTACGTCACAGAGTACAACGGCTGGTTCATGGAGCAACAAACACAGTTTTTGCTGGGAAGGTATTGGGCAGGCACCGTTACCTCGATGTGTTTGCAGAAACGGGCTTTTGTTTGCTCTTGCTTTGGTTTTCGAAAAGGGGTCTGAATGGAATTTATTCTAAAACAACAGCCTATTTGTCTCTGTTTTGGACGTCAAAAGGACAGCGAATAGTTGAACATGTTTGTATCGGCCACCCCTCTGCCTCCCCTTTTGTCTTTCTCTACACTCTGTCCTTTTCCCTCCGTCTCTCTTTCCCTCAGGGACAACTTTACCACCTTCCTAAACTTCATGGGGCACCTGTCCTATCAGTGTGACCGGCTGCTAGGGGACCAAGAGATGATGACTTTCCTCCAGAAGGAGCGCTACGACATCACAATCCTTGATGCGTTCAACCCCTGCTCCTTCATCCTGGCACGCAAACTCGGTACAGCTGCTGCAATTTGTCACATTGTTTTTTGTCATTATTATCATCAGCCTTTACATTTCTAAATGTGTTTATTATAAACCAGTATATTTCCACCTTTCATATGGTAATTTGAACAATAATCCAAAAGCCATAAACCAGATTTACAGTGTTTGATTATCTACAGCAGTTCCATTGCTCTCCACTCTTGGTTTTCTCCAGGTATCGACTACATAGCTTTCCACCCCGGCACTCTGAACAGTCCTCTGTCCATGGCGCTCCCCAGCCCGGTCTCCTACATCCCGGTCTTTGGCTCCCAGCTCTCCGACCAAATGAACACTTGGGGTCGAGCAAAGAACCTCTTTTATTCTCTCTTAGCTCCCATAGGTAATATAGCATCAGCACGCAGGTGATCACATATTGTCAAGGGGTGTCAAGTGTACATTGTAAAAGCCCCCGACACCAATTATCCTAAATCGACACTCTATTACTTTCCATATGTTATTCTCATGTCATTTTTAATATGCTTAATCTATCTCTTTGCTTTCCTTGAATTGCCCTTTACTTTCCATTTCTTCTAGAAATAGTTAGTCTCCACTTAGCCAGCGCAGGTTTTAGCTAAATGAGTTGTAATATAAAAATGAGTTATGATAATTCAATCTGATTGGCATTCATTTGGTTATTTTTTTTTATGTGTCCTGCATCGAAGGCCAGGAACTTGTATGGTCGACTTTTAGGGAAGTAGCCGAACGCCACTTTGATTCTGACTCGCCCCCTGGAGGTCTGGAGGAGCTGCATCAAGGAGCTGAACTATGGGCCTTCAACACCGACTTCTCCCTGGAGTTCCCCCAGCCTCTCATGCCCTACACTGTCCTGGTGGGAGGTCTGCTGAATAAGCCGGCGCAGCCTCCAGAGCAGGTCTCTTCTCTTGATGTGCATATCCCAACACACCAGGGAGGTTTTTAAAGGAACATGTCTCACTCATCCTGCTGTACTCAACCACGCAAATGTCCCTTTTGCTTTTTTCCTCTTTGGCCCAGGACATTGAGTTGTGGATCTCCAATTTTGGAGAGGCCGGTTTCGTTGTCGTGACTCTGGGATCGATGGTCTCTTCGGTCTCTGTGGACTCCCTGCTTGTAGAGCTGGTGGCGGGCTTCTCTAGGATCCCTCAGGGGGTAATCTGGAGGTAAATGCTTTACCCAATTCATACAGGCACTATTAACATGCTTTGGCACAGATCTGGATTTTTTTAAATTACAAGGGAAAAATGTACATAAAATGTAATTTTATTTCCATGAAAAGCCCCAAAACAATTACCATTATTGTCAGTATGTTCCTAATCCCGCAGTATTTTGCCTGCAGGTATGACCCAGAGCGATGGCCGTCTCACCTGGACAGACCTCCCAACCTGAGGCTGATGGACTGGTTGCCTCTCAATGATCTGCTGGGTAGGAACAGTCTTCCTCTCTTGCCCTTCTGGGTTTCAGTATATGGTAGACTTTCAAACGGCCTCTACAGGACTGTGAAGTATGGCTAAAATAAGGAATCTCGAGATAGACCAAGACACTGAAGCAAGATGGCCGCTCCGTTCTTTCCTCCTATCCTCTTCATATATACAGAAATACCAAAAAGACTGCAGTGTATTCATCAGTCTGCGCTACCTCCAAACACTCTTCGTGTTCTCTCTTCGTAATTTCGTTTTCTCTATTTCCCGTTTACCGCAGGCCACAAAAAGGTGCGTGTCTTTGTCACCCACGGTGGACAAAACAGCCTGTTCCAGGCAGTGTATCACGCTGTTCCTGTGCTGGGAATCCCTCTTTTTGGGGACCAATTTGATAATATGGTGAGGGCTAAAACAAAGGGACTTGGCCTCACCATCAAGCCCACGCACATCACCAGGGAGCTGCTCAGCTCCACCATCCAAACACTCTCGCAGGACATCAGGTACGTGAAAGGACATTTGTGATGCCAGTCGAGCAACAAAGATGTCGTGACCGCCCTTCTCCGCTTCTCCGTTTCCAGGTTCAAGTCTTCAGCTTTGTCCCTTAGCCGGATCCACAAGTCCCATCCTGTCCCCCCCGCCCTTCGACTCACCCAGTGGGTGGAGCACATCCTGCAGAGTGGAGGTGGGGCTCATTTAAGGCCGGCTTCGCTCACACAGCCGTGGTACCAGAGGTACCTGTTGGACTTGGTGCTCCTTCTCTCCCTGGGTCTTCTCGGGCCCGTAGTTATCTGCTTGACTTGCTGGAAGAACAAGAACAGCAGGGACCAACACGAAAAGATACAATAGGTGGTCTGTACTAAGCGTTTCCTCCAGAGAACTTTAGATGTATGCCTCAGTTCTGTGTTACTCGTTTGTCTTGGACTTGAACAATATACCAATATGAGAACTTTTTATGGCGACCCTCCAAAAGAGCAGTTATTCAATAAATAAGCCATGCTTCTTGTAACTGTTACTTATATTTCCACTCATAAATAGAATAAAATCAATAACTGACAGGAGCCTCTCATTTGGATGTTGGAGACCTTGCGTTGGCACAAGCAACTGAGTCAAACGTCAGCAGACAATAACCAAAAGCGTGAAAAAGAAGCCATTCAAATGCTTCTTGTTTGACATTATTTCTCTTCTCATTCTCAGCATTTCTTGTTAGATTTTTAACAGTATATCCCAGTTTAATTTGGTGTAAAAGAGCCTTAACGCCAAGTGCTGTGACCTTTCCCCTCCCAGCGCCATCGCGTCTGCCAGACGTCTCGTCTGTTCTGCGGCGTCACATTGTCCGAACACCTCGGTGCTGCTGTGACCTCTCCGTAGCACATAGCAGCGCCCCAGCCAGGCATTGCTTTAGTGCCGTCACGAGCCACATTAGTGTAGACGGGTGTTATCGTGTGCTCCTCTGCTGGTCTGGTTTGGGTGTAGGAAAGGTACTTCGTAGTCATAGAACGTACACTTATATGTGTGTCTGCTGGCTCTTCAATTATCAACCACCTGCAAGTCTCAACTCTGACCCCCACACCCTCCGCTGGTGCTTTCCACTGAGTCTGCTTCCCAATTTCTAAACAGCGAACAGCGATGTTTCACGGTCAGCGCTCAAGCCCCAGCGGAGAGCAGACCAGGCCTTGTAGGACCCCCCCCATCTCTTCCCACTCCTCACATCTGTGTTGGGGTTAGCAGGGAGGGACATATAGATCAGCAAGGAAATAATGACCAATTAGGACGGCTTGTTCTCTGTCCATTCAGCTGTGCATTCTTCCATCTCTTTCCCCCTGCACTTCATTTGTCTGTTCAGCTGGCAGTTGCAGGTGCCAGTGAGTCTTCCCCGGTCTCGCACGCAATCCAAAACAGACGGGGCAAAGCATGGCGGGGCGGGGCGGCACCACTCTGAGAAAAAAAAAAAGGACAAGAGGCAAATGAAAGGAAACTTTAATGAAGCAGAAGAGGGACACAATGATGCTAAATGGAACATGGGAAAGTCACAGAGCAGAAACAAAGCGGAGAGAAACGGAGGTCAGAAGAAATAATGGTCCAAATAGCATTGAACAAATCAGACATTTGTATTTCCTATTATGGTTTAAATTGTCCTAAATGAATGGCTTAAATTGTCATGTCATTTTTATATTTTTTTTACAATCGTATATTTAAAAAAATGTTTACTTCAGGTGCAGTGACCAGAAAGATGAATAATTCAAATCACAATAATGTAATTGCATCACAAGGACGTGTAAGCATGTACAGATTTTGGTCCTTGAATAAAGCAGCAGTGACTTGAGCCACAAACACATGATCCCTCGTGATGCATCGACACGGACGACTATCCATCTGCTCGCAAATTAGTCCAATCAGAGCAGAGCATGAAAAAGGAACTAAAAACAAGGTAAATATAATGGAAATGAATTAATTTGTCTAGAAGAGGAAATAAAACATTTCTATTTTCTACTTTTTAATGTTTCATTTCTCCCAGAATGATAATGTTATGAATAAGCGCTTTTCAAGCCATAGACCGACGCATTCTGATGTGAATTTTGTACAACTGTGGGGAAAAGGATGTTAAATATGCACACTTGTCATGTCTATATGATCTGTAATGATAAATAAAAGGGAGGAAGTAGTTGTTTCAGAGCTGGGAGTAAAGTTATGTGGCTGTAATGATTGAAGGTCAGAACATTGTCCCCACTAAGTTCAAAGAAATTGGAAATGAATTTGACTTTTTTTATAAACCTCCAGTGAGCCAAATGGGGAGACAGAAAAACACAGTAGAGGATATGGATGCATGAGGGCATTCTGTGTGTGTTGGAGTTCACAATCCGTGTGGTTTGTGAGGTAGAGCCCCATCTAGTGACCTGAGAAGAATACTTCATTGAGAGTAAGACTTGTAACTGTATTAATACAACACCAGTCACGGACAAAAGTCACAGAGTGATTAACAAAAGAGAAGACCAAATACACACAAAGAGACCTCACAAGGGCCAGTTAAAATAGGCCTGCAGCGTTGATCTTACCCACATGCCAGTCTGAACAGGTACGTTTTGAGCTGTTTTTTAAAAGAAAAATCACCCTCAGCAAACCGTCAGGGTGCAGGCAGAGCATTTCATAATTTGGCCCCTCGGGTCTTGTGTGTGTGGGATGGACAGGAAATTCAACATGATGGACCTGAGAGCCGGGCGGGTCGATTAGTCAGGCTGGAGTGTCAGAGCCTTTATAGGAAGCACATTGCTACTTGCATTCAAGCAAAGGATTTGAGTGCATCTTCTACAACTATATGTTTGTTTTCGGCGTAGTGACTATAGACGTTAACATTGTTATATTAGCGTCCAAGAGGGCGCAGTGTATTTGTGAGTGGCCGTCGCTTATAAAAGGCTTGTGACACACACGCACCTGATTGGTTGAAGGGCTGCCGTGTGACTGGCCAGAGTGAACACAGTGGGCGTGGCCTAGCGTCAATGTTTACGCAGCCCGCTGTCCGCGTACGTGAGCGCACCGGGGACGCGGCGATGGGATTCGACTGACCATTGATTTGTTTTCGTGCGCATTTCACCCGGCGGTCGTTGGCACGTTATGCACCCCCCGCCGACATGGGGAGTCACTAGCGGCTGAAACACGGAGGGGACCGAGGACAAAGCCGGGATGGCGGGCGCTTTTGGGCTCAAAGGCTGCCAGAAAATTCGAGGTCCGCAGCTAAGAAATCTGCTGGAGGCGAAGGACTTCATCCTCCTCGACTGCGACGGCGTCATCTGGCACGGGGAGACGGCGGTGACGGGCGCCGCCAAGGCGGTGAGCTCGCTGATACGGCACGGCAAGCACGTCGTGTTCGTCACCAACAACTGCACCAGGCCGCGCGAGAGCTACGTGCACAAGTTCTGCCGCCTGGGCTTCACCGACGTGATGCTGGAGCAGATCTTCAGCTCGTCGTACTGCTCGGCTCTCTACCTGCGGGACGTCGTCAAGGTCCGCGGGCAGGTGTACGTGATGGGCTGCGACGGGCTGCGCACGGAGCTGGAGGGCGCCGGCGTCCCCTGCGTGGAGGAGGCGGACGAAGCGGGCGCCACCATCTACGACTGCGCCCTGGCCGCGGACGTCAAGGCGGTGCTGGTGGGACACGACGACAAACTGACTTTTCTCAAACTGGCCAAGGCGTCGTGCTACCTGAGGGACCCGGACTGCCTGTTCCTGGCCACCGACAACGACCCCTGGCACCCTCTGTCCGGTGGAAGGATACTGCCAGGTAATGGCGGTGATGCGGCTGCGTCTGCGGGCGCTCGCCCCGCCCCCCTCCGCGTGTATGAATGGAGATTACTGACATACGTGTCAGGGAAATAGTTCCCTCTAGTGACTCCCCACTATTGGTCATTTTAACATTTTTAAGTATTATTAGTATTTACATGAGAATTAGAGTTTAAAAGTTGGTGTATCACTTGGCGGCACCACACCACACATTTTCATTTGGTTTTTGTTTTTTCTTCTTAAAATACCACTGCCAACCAAAATGTGTGTGTACCAGTCAAATATTTGGACACATTTTCTCATTCAAAGTGTGTCCAACTGTTGCCTGGTACTGTATATCTAAACATGTGACATGGAGGTGTGTGGAGGTTTCAGACCACAGACATTCTGCTGTGCGAAACATTTCATTTAGTCTCAAACACAAACAAATGGTGGTCACTGTGCTGGAATACCCGTTGCTCAATTGAGCCATTCTTCTGCACCTCCGCCCCCCCATTCACCGAGCGCACACACACACACACACACAGCAGCTTTACTAGAGTATAGAACCACGTACCAAGTACCACCTGGCCTCAGGTCTGTCTGCTGGATAGAACATTTACCGGCCCCACCGGGTTGTGAGCGTGTGGTGACACTGATCATCGATTAAGCCACGCCTACTGGAAGGTTGTTGGAGAACAGGACGTGTTTCAACTGATCTAACTTCTTTTGTGACATCTTCACCCCCCCTCTCTCTCTCCCGGGAAGGTTCCGGGTCCCTCACCGCGGCCCTGGAGGTGTCCTCGGGCCGCAAGGCCACCGTGATCGGCAAGCCGAGCCGCTTCATGTTCGAGTGCATCTCCAGCCAGTTCAGCGGGGCGGAGCCCGCCAAGTGCCTGATGATCGGGGACCGCCTGGAGACGGACATGCTGTTCGGGTCCAACTGCGGCCTGGACACCATGCTCACCCTCACCGGCGTGTCTCAGCTCGAGGACGCCCACGAGTACAGGGACAGCGAGCTGTCCGCCAACCGCGGCCTGGTGCCCGACTACGTGGTGGACTCCATCGCCGACTTCCTGCCGGCTTTTGAGGAAGTGGACGAACAGAGCGATTGACGGGAGTCTCCTCCCCCCCGTCGCCCAGCAACGTTTTGCTTCTGCTGCAAGTTCAACGTTTAGTCTGACGTACTCGTCCACAATCATCCAAAAACCGGAAATGCTCCTCAGCTGTAAAGAGCGCTGTTCATTACCAAGACGCGCATTCGGCAGTAATCCAGTGCTTACCTCAGTGTTTAGTGTTGTGCCCATTTGTGACTTGGCAGTTGCTGTAGGTGTCGATATTAATCTATGAATATACTGCACTTTCCCCTCCATAGTTCACAGGTAGTGTTTGATTAGTTTTGGGAATCCAGAGGTATTTTTGTAAAGCCGTGAATTGTTCGATAACGGCATTCATGTATTTAAATGACCCCCCCCAGAGGCACACATGCACTTCCTGAGGCAGAATGGTTTTCTCATGTGTTAAATTCATGGCGAGAGGAGACAATAAATAAACACACTATTCACTGGCGAGCTTACCGGATCTCATAGTTAGAAAAACACAGGTCATAGCGCTGTGTTGTGAAATGTCGATGTTGTTAATGTTTGCCATATAGAGCATGCCAGCGACGGTAACAACAATAAAGCACCTGAAAAGAAATCCTTGTGTATTGGAGACGTTCTCTGCTGATCGCGTGCCGTGGTTTCCACATCCGGCACAATAAGAACGCCACAATCCAAATACAATATTTCCTTTTAATGATTTCCATTCAGCAGAACCACTGCAACTCGATAGCCGGAGTCTCTTGGGCCGCTTTGGGTTCGAACGGACTCATCGGTTTAGTGTGAATCTGTGAAATTCATCAACCAATCATTGTATTCCAAGTAGTGATTGAGGGATTGCAAGTGAGGCACAAAAAAAAAAACCCCAGCAACATCATGATGAGATTAAAAATCAAACTATTGTGTCGAGCAACTGTCCAAAAGCTTTACCAAAAGCCAAAAGACTTTACTATGTGTAAAACTTTCTACCAGGAGACAAATACACAACTAGGATTTAGAAACAAATATGTACATCTTAAGCGGCTTTAAGCAATACTTTATTCTACATCATGTGGCAACAGGTTGAGCAGCCGCATAGAGTTGAAGACACGCAGTAAAAGGACTTTGGTTGCAGTGATGGAGTCGCGTGGGTCATTCTGGTCCGCCGCGCTGTGAAGAAACAAAACACAGATCTGAAAAAACTAACAAACACGACATAAGAGCTCCTCAATATTGACACTGTAGATACAACTTTGAGGTGGAAATTCTCATCTTTCTGAAACTTGTGAAATGATGATAAGATGTCTTAAAATGGTTGCATTTCATTTAGGTTTTTAAGCACAATCCCCAGCGTCAATGCAGACCACGGGCAAAATCTATAGGTGTTTAAGTCCAACGGTTACGGAGGTTAATCTTAATCTAGGGCACTAGGGTTGTGTTTGAAACATACCTGTGGATCAAAGACACAACCCCCCCCCCCTCTCCCCCCTCACCTGGATGTACTCCATCTCCTCGGCTGCCATTGGTCTCCTGCGGTACCTCGCAGGTAGTAGCTGAATAGAGGCCAGCGAATCTGGCGTGCCAGAAACTGGGGTCAAAGGTACAGGAGGTCGCGATGACGGAGGCGGCGGCGTGCTGTGCGGTGCGACGTTAACTGCAAATGCTTTCAAAGCCTCTCCGGCTGGAAATGGGTAGAAGAAAAGTCAGTCAGCACATTTCACTCAAAGGCAAAGATTCAAACCGATTTAATCCTCGCGTAATGTTTATTAAAACTACTGAAGGTTACAGTATCAGCTAGATCACCAGGAGCTGTCGGGCCCTCATTCAAAGCCGCCGTGCTCACCGTTGGGCCGTTGGATGTCTTGTCGTTTGGGGAACTTGATCAGAGGAGCGCGAGGCCGAACAGCCTGTGAAAAAACCCAACAACAACTTTGTTTTAACCTTCAGCATAAAGTACAGAGAGAAGGATTACCTTGGTAATGGGGAGCATTGTTCATCTAAAAACCTATACATTTAACCCTTTAACATGTTTGTAAAGATGGGTGCATGGGAGTTTTCCACTGGCAGATAAAGCGCACAGATCACATGTTTGGAATTGTGCGATGACTGTGACGGTTACTTGTGTCCCACTATTAACAATCAGCGACCACCAGACTGAGGTGAACAACTCAAAAAGGTGCTACCAGCTTCTAAGTGCAAGAACTCCTTTTTTAATTATTGCAGAATGACAGTATCCAGTTTGCATTGCTATTGATGCATTTGGGGTTTATGTTCTATGCCAATGTGAGGCGCCCTTTGAACCCACTATTTCAGATTTAACAACACCAACAAACCAAAACAGGCGATTAGATGCAGTCCTCATAACGCTGGACATTGTTTCTAAATTTACTGGGATACAGATGTTTTATTACCCGGTTAGGACACAGTCTGTTTGTGTCCATTTTCACACCGAGCGACGTTCAAAGTGAACCGACAACAAGTGCCCTCATACTCATCTCCCTTCATCCCTGTACACACGCTACCTTATGCTAAGCTAACGCCAATCACGCTGCGCGCTAACAGCGACGACAGAACGAGCGAACAGCGACTCGGCCCAAAAGTTGGCGTCCAAACGTCAGGATTCAGGCCGTAAACGACTTTTCCAGCTGCTGTCTGAACCCGGCTGAAAACAAGGACACCAACAAGGGTACAGCGGCATCCGTTCCAGGCGTTTCTAAAACATTGTTTCACGCCGAGAGGGACGACGGAGGAGCGTCGTCCCCCCCGCTAATGGCGCGAGTCGGACCTCCGCGCACCGCGGTCCGCGCTAGCTGGGGTCTCTGTTACCTGGACGATTCGGGCTGCGGGTGCTGCCATCTTGGAGCTGACTTTGCCCCCCATGACGACCCCGCGGGTTCACTTCCGGGTTGAAGAGGCTCCTCGCCACAAGATGGCGCTGTGCTGTTAACGTAAACGGGTTGACGTTAACGGTTACTAGTGTATAGCGTAACCGGCAGGGCTGCGGGTAACGAGGAATGGTGCGGGGGGATGGAGATATGATGCCTCTCTTACAGCTACATGATTAGCATCAATGAGCGACACAGCAGTGAAATGCATCTCCTAAGGCTATAATTTCAATAACATGGCCGTTTTGAGTCTTTACTTCTATAGGCACCTTACATAAAGCCTCCTCTTTACCTCTCCGTGGAAACGGCCGTCAGACCGGTTGACCCAGCGTTTGTCCTGCGAGGTCAAATCCTCAGGTCATTCTGCAGTCTTATCAGTCCGGCTTGCGAGTTAGCCTCCTGTGAAAAGAGGGCATACAAAAATAGACCAATAAAATGCTTTAATCCACTGTAAAGCACAAGCAGCCGAGGCCGAATACGGTCTCAAAGCCTTTTATTCTTTATTAAGCTACTAAAAGGCAATGATAGTGTCTGTGTTATTACAAAAAATGCCAATACAAGACTACTGTGCTACAGCAAAGACAAATACCTGGCCTGTCTGTGTGTCCACTCCGTCTGGATGAGAATAAGGTCAAGTACATCTCGTCCAATCAACGACGAGTAAAGCAGCAGAGATCGTTTAAAAGGGGAGATGTGTCACCAGCAGAAAATACAAATATATGCACGACTCTCTCGCGCCGCAATTCAAATACGTAGAAAGTATTTTTAATAGAATATATACAGTTTATCATCCCGAACTTTAATCACGATGCAAATGATAGAAAATATAATCAAATACAGCGTTTCTTACCCTTCTATAATGTCAAGCAGAGTTAAAACAGACCAAATCGAATTATGAATCAGAATGATGCATCTAAAGTTTTAATTTGAGTTTTCCCTGTCTTGTTTATTCCTGAAGGATTCCTGAACGAGGAGGACGAAATTACGTTTTTTGGTTAATACATCTATCTTTAATAATGTGATACAAAGGTTGAAACCTTTGAGTAGGTAATCCCGTTGTTGACGTCTCATACGTTTGCCTTTTGCACCCACAACTCACAAAACCTTTGACGTAATAAAATATAAAAATAAGAGAAGATCTTTAACAAGAAAGGGACACAACTCGTTGCCACTGCAGCTGGCTGGTGGAGCATCTCTCCCATCCGGCTCTTTGTATTTGTGGTCAATGTGGGCCATGATATCACAACACCGCCATCTACTGGATTCCTCATTCATTGCAGGATTCCCAAAGCAGTTTAATGTTTGGTGAAATGTCCCATTCGTAAACAATAAAGCTCATCCCAACCCTTCGACCACAGTGTGAGATTTGGGGATCTCTGGTGCCATTTTTATTATTTATGACATAATGTTGCCTGACTATTATTGGCCCAATTATCACATTCAACTGCACTGCATTGAATCTTTGCTCCATTTTGACACCGTGAAGTCTATTTATCCCTGCATAATAATACAAATATGTATTTGCACGGTGTCATGATCATCCCATATTTAAAGATGATGCACTTAATTAACAATCTCCCATTCACAGCAAGAAGCTACATCTCAACAGTCGGGTGGACAATTCAAATTTTATTAAACCTCCATTTATTAAAGAAACTGGTCCAGAGTCATGGAAAACAAAAAAGGTTCCAATCTAAACATGGGCCGATTCTTTACTTGATACTGCGCGTACTTTTTTAACGAAAGACTTGCACGGTAGAGCCGCAGTCTCAAGTGAAGAGTCGCCCCCTGACGTTGCGTTTATCGGGTACAGCCCATCTGACATCTATAGTGCATTCTGCTACATGAGTAGCGTCGGCAGCTGCTGTTTGACTCAGGCCTTCTTGCCAGCTGCGCGGCGGAGACTCAGTGGCTCTTTGACCTGTCGAACAGCTGCTTGAGTTGGTCCTGAGATGTGGCCTCCTTCTGCTGCACGAGATCTTTGTGGCCCTTGGTGACACCCCAGCTGTCGGGGGCGGACATAGAGGGACACAGGGGGCGACCAGAGGCTGGCTTCAGGTTCTCCCAGTAGTCACGGCGGGCTCTGGAAGAGACAAAGGGCCCCAGCAGTTAGTACCTACTGGTCTATTTTACATTTCAGGGTGCACAGTTATGGTACTCAGTAATCAAAGTCTCTCTTCTGACCTGGCTCTGACCCAGGGCTTGGTGTGCATCTCCAGACCAGCACCCCAGTTGCCGTGTTTCTCTGACGCAGCAGGGAGGACGCCCCTCTCCACGGCCAGCTCCTCTGCAACCGCCCTGATGTGGTACGGCTCGAACCCGCAGCAGCCGCCGATGAAGTGGATGCCAGCGTTAAAGGCCTCTCTGGCGTACTTGTGCATGTCCCAGCGCGACAGGATCCTGGGCTCCAGACCTGACGGGAGATTCATACACATTACACCCCATAACCTCGGTTTGTTTTTGGCGACTTTGCAGCCGGAAGGGGTTGTTTGCACGTGCACATGGAGAAACGGCTTATTTTTAAGGTGTAACGTTATATGTTTAAATGAAAGTGTTGAGCGGTGTTTCATTACCAAAGGGGAATTCTGGCAGGTCGATGAAACCCTGACAGTTGCAGTCGGGGGTGTGGTATGCAAGGGGCTGCACCATGTAGTGGGCCTTCAGCCCGGCCTTCTCCACCCCCTCCTTCATCATCTTGACAGCTTTCACACAGGTCATGGGGTCAAAGTGGCAGTTGACGCCGACAATCTGGGCACCTACAAGTGGAACATGCATTGGCATTAGCCGTGACTAATGAGCAGAGGAAGACAAAAAACGTGGTACGCTGTGAGACAGAACCAACACGGTTCTATGGAACCTAAGAGACGTTGGCTGACATTTCGGTGGAAGTGGTTGGACGATAAAATCAAATTAACAGTTCTAGAACGCAGGCTGGTCCCAGTTAATTATTCCTATAACCGGTAGACCAAGAACAGATGTTTCATGCCGCTTCTACCGGGTAGAAATCTTGCCCCTGCCACCTACACCACAGAGAGGTCAAGATGAGTTCATGTGAACCACTCTAAAGTTTCATTTACTCTTGGAATCTAACAACAGGCTGTGCTCACGGGGTGCGTCAAAGGACACGGTACCCACCGGCTTTGACCAGCCTGACGGCACACTCTGCAGGCGAGACGCCGTGCATGTCCCCCTCCGGTCCGATGCACATGGAAGCAGCCACCGGCTTCCCGGTCTCCTTCAGCACCTCCACGGCCCACACGGCCTCCTCGACATGCTCAAAGTACTGAGGGACAGAGACACGTCCTACTCAGAAAGGGCTTCAAATGAGGGTCGAATTCATTTACGGAGGAAAGTCATCCGTACCTCTGCAATCAGGAAGTCCACGTTCTTCTTCGTGAACACGTCCAGCTGTTTCTTCAAGATGGCCTTCACCTCCGTCTCACTCTTGCAGCTCAGGTAGGACGGAGTCTGACACACTCCTCCGGCAACGAGAGCGTCGCCCTCGTTGGCGACCTCCCGGGCCAAATCGCAGGCGGCCTCGTTGATCTGAGCTCCCTGTGGGGGCGGCAGACAAATTGTGGGCGAAAACAGAGCACAGAAGACCTGACACCTGCAGGACGTTCTGCTTACTACTACTTAGCGGTGCGACGTCCAATTGGACTTACGGTGAAGGTGAGCTTGTTGCCCCTGTTCTCCAGTTTGTCGTCGCTGGCGTAGAAGGTGAAGGTCTGCATGACGTTGGCCCCGGCCCTCAGGAACTCCCTGTGCAGCTGTCGCACTGAAATCATTAAAAAGTGCTCGATAAGCACGATGAGGCAAAAGCACATCACATCTGAACAGAATCAGCGCGTCTAAGTCGGTAACGCATCTCGTTCTCACCTGCTTCTGGGTGCTCTGCGGCGGCTTCCGGCGTCCAAGGACCGGCCTTCACGTAGCCCCTCTTCTCCAGGGCGAACACGAAGCCTCCATCGCCGATTACCACCTCTCCAGCGTCGAGGCGCTCCAAGATCCCCTACGGTGACGGATCAGCGCGAGTCAGAGGGATGGAGGTTGATCAAGGAGGTTTACCTGACAGATGCTGACAAAACGTCTCTATCTAACCGGACTCGGTTTAGTTAAGTGAGAGAAACTCCAAATAGCCCCCGTCTCCCTTCTGTGACGCAGAGGCATGAGGAAAGCAGCACATGCGCTGCCAGAGAGCAGCTGCACGGCTCCCGTTCACTGATAGACCTGAACCTTTGGATTCCCGCACGTTGGGCTTTATTATACATTAAAAGTTTCACCTCACTTCACTTTGAATTATTACACTTCAGACCAGGTCAGTAAAATGTACTTGAATCCACATGAAAACTAAACTAAACTCACCACAACCACGTAGGTTCAAATCACACCAGAGAGTCAGATTTCTCTTTCCCCAGATCCTGTCATAGAACATGATTCTTCGAACCCACTCGAATTTCTACAATTTCCATTGAGAGAAAACCCTCAGCTCACTGTAAGAATAAATTCTTCAAATGAACTCTTAATGAGATGACTATTATGTCATAATCTGCAGAGTTAAACCTTTCATGTGGAAGTTTTCTAAGTTTAACTTCTTACAGACATCGTGAACACATAAACTAGACTAGAAGGTTCACACATACCTTCTTTGATGGTGCCATGATCCTGCAGACGTGTGGACTCCTGACTACTCAGACTGTGAGAGGCTGAAGCGACATTAGAGTGGAGCAGGAGCCCCCTATTTATCCATCTGAAACAGGGGAGGGCTCCAAACAAGAGCCGCTCTGATTGGCAGCAGACAAAATTACACAACCGCAATGTTTACACGTTCCCCTCCTCACTTTGACAGAACGAGAGTACTGTGAGTGAAATGTGTGATAATCATAGTTGTATTCTGTCGTGGCAGCCCAACAGCACTCATTCCACACCGACAACAATAAAGTGACAAATTCAGGTTTATTGTGTGGGGTTTACAGAGTAAAACAGTATCGCTGTTACAAGTGCTTTTTCGTGTTTGGACTGAACTCGGGAAAAGACTTCTGCCTCCCGTCCTCATGTGGAGGACTTGGACTTCTTCTGCATCTCCAGCACGTGCTTCATTTCCTGACTGCTGGTGGCCTCTTTGTGCTGCAGCAGGTCAGCGTGGCCCTTGGTCACGCCCCAGCCCTCCGGCGTGGACATGGATGGGCACTTGGGCCGCCCGGATGCAGGAGCTATATTCTCCCAGTAGTCCCGGCGGGCCCTAGACGGGGGCAGAGACACAGGTTAAAGAAGCCCGCGTGTGTTTTCAGGATTGTGTTTTAATACTTGATCTGGTTTACCTGGCTCGGACCCAGGGCTTGGTGTGCATCTCCAGACCGGCACCCCACATTCCATGTTTCTCTGAGGCAGGGGCCACGATCCCTCTCTCGGGGGCCAGCTCCTCTGCTATGGCCCTGATGTGGTACGGCTCGAATCCGCAGCAGCCGCCGATGAAGCGGATGCCAGCCTTGTAGGACTCTCTGGCGTACTCGTGCATGTCCCAGCGGGTCAGGATTCTGGGCTCAAGGGCTGAGGAAGGTAAAAAGGAGACAACTGTGAGAAACTACAGACTACTTGATTTCTTTTTTTTTTTTTATATCAAGCAAAACATAATACCGAATGGGAATTCTGGCAGGTCGATGAATCCCTGACAGTTGCAGTCGGGGGTGTGGTATGCCAGGGGCTGCACCATGTAGTGGGCCTTCAGCCTGGCCTTCTCCACCCCCTCCTTCATCATCTTCACGGCTTTCACACAGGTCATGGGGTCAAAGTGGCAGTTGACTCCCACAATCTGGGCACCTGGAGAAATGGAAACGGTTATTGCCGTTATCACATTACACAGCTGACTCTGCAGTAAAGAAAACATGCGGGTATTGTCGTACCGGCCTTCACCAGCCTGACAGCACAGTCGCCGGGCGAGACGCCGTGCATGTCCCCCTCCGGTCCGATGCACATGGAGGCGGCCACGGGCTTCCCGCTGGTCTTCAGCACCTCTACGGCCCACACGGCCTCCTCCACATGCTCGAAGTACTGCGGCGAGAGAAACCACACAGTCACCACCGAGCGTTCGGTCGCTCCACCGATCCTATTTCACAGTCACAAGACCCGGGAACCGCGCGCTGATCCACCTCGGCTATCAGGAAGTCCACGTTCTTCTTCATGAACACGTCCAGCTGTTTCTTGAAGATGGCCTTCACATCTGTCTCACTCTTGCAGCTCAGGTAGGACGGAGTCTGACACACGCCACCCGCCACCATCGCGTCTCCTTCACTGGCTACTTCCCTCGCCAGGTCACAGGCTGCCTCGTTGATCTGTGCCCCCTGAGAGAACATCACGGTTGATGGACAAGGGCATCAGCACGGGGTAGAGTAGTGTTTGCAGTAAACGTAGGCTGCTGTAGTTGGGTACTCACAGTGATTCTCAAGTTCTGCCCCCTGTTCTCCAGTTTGTCGTCGCTGGCGTAGAAGGTGAAGGTCTGCATGACATTGGATCCTGACCTCAGGAACTCCCTGTGCAGCTGCCGCACTAATGGAAACGCACATGTTTAAAGCTTTCAGCTCTGTGTACCTTCCCCCCGTGTGGGTTTGGACACAGCATGTGGGTGTTGGCTTCTGCCTTACCGGCCTCGGGGTGTGTGACGGTAGCCTCTGGGGTCCACGGCCCGGCCTTCACGTAGCCTCTCTTCTCCAGAGCGAAGACGAAACCCCCATCACCGATCACCACCTCCCCAGAATTCAGGCGCTCAATGATACCCTGTGGGAGCAGAGGGATGCAAGGCAACCCTGTAGTTGAGCTCCATGCTGAATGGCTTACAAACCCTCGATATTTTGTAGGCTACCATACGGGACCGTTCTACAAACAACCTGAAATCCTCCTGCCTAGAACCTGCACTGAGAACATTTTCATCAGAACAGCACGACCCGTCAACCAACAGGGCAACTACAACCCACAGCAAATACATGGCACAGTTTGGCTTCAACAAAGTCTCTTCAGAATAAGATGGAAGTAGTTTAAATGCCGTCCGCATATAATTTTATGTACCTTCTTGACTGGTGCCATCTTTTCTTCCCGGTTTCAGTTGAAGCACTAAGCACTTGGTAACAGCGAACCCCTTTTTTGACCCGAAGAGTGCAGAGAGTTGGCCCTCGCTAGCTTTATACCAGCTGCATGGATATGGGAGGATTTGATTTTGTTGCCAAAAATTCATGTGTAATTGCTAAATCTCTGTTTGGACATTGTGAAATGTCCAAAAGTCTGGCTCATAGATCAATGAAGAACATACCGCCAGCAGTCAATACAGGTAAGACAGGGACACAATGATTAAAATAAGGTCTCCTGTTAAACAACTAATCAACCATTTGTGTTTATCCTTTTCCTTTGGTACAATTTGAATTCATTTTTATTGGTTAACCAGCCTGGTTTCATCAAACCAAATCCTCCAGATGTTCGCCTCCTCTGTTTGGCCCCGAAAAGGTCTGGTGCAATAAAACTTACGGTGTCCTCACAGTTTGAACCGTCTGTACAGCCTGAAGAGATGACCTCGCATCAGGCTCCTCTTCCCAGGACCTGCAAGTCTGTTAAGGGAGGTTTCTGAATCCTAATATTTTACAAGGGAGCTGCAGGAGAACTGTTACTGAAGTAATCTCTTGCACTGTCATGCACTGTAGTAAATTCAAGGTTTTTGGGCTTTGTACTTTTGGTTGAAAAAAAACTTTCTTGCCAAAGGACATCGGGATCGACATTTTCATATTTCTTCAATTGCCTCTTTTAGACCGGGCAATGAAACAAGTCTGAATCTGGTTGTTTCTCTTGATAGATTGGTTTAAATAATTTAGTCCAACGTCTCTGAACCAGAAACCAGTCCAGAACAACACTTCTGCGTGTCGAGATTTCCAGTTTAACCAGTAACATCTCCTACTCTGCCCACATCGATGGCCTTATTTGTTTTGTAGGCCTGTCTGCTCTGGGTCTAGCCAGTTTCAGGGGGACTGGTCAGAGATAGGCCTCCCTCAGGTGTTTATCAACACGGGACAAAGTTCAGAAAACGCCTCCAATCTATAGTTCACTACATCAGCATGTTTTGGAGTCGCAGACATCACGTTACCTTCTGCTGATTCAGGGGAACTGTCCTTAAAAAGTATCACACCCTAAAAACGGTTTCCTGCATCAGTGTGCCTGGAAGGAAAATAAAGATATTTATAGTTATGATCTCCATGATCAGAAACAAACAAAGTAAGTATATGTATACAACTTATATTTAGGGACTTCTTTCTGCCAGTAATTAATCTTCTTTTGGATTTAGATCTTTTTTTATTTGTTTCCCTCTCCCTGCTTGTGAGGTTGAACTATAAATCCAGTTGTGTGAAATCTATATACTGTATCTACCATATCTCCATTACTTCAGAGTTATTCCAGCTATTCCAATTCTAGTATCAGCAGCTGTACTTCTATCCTTTTGCAGGCACAACTAGTTCTCGCAGGCTGCGACTGACCCTGGGGCCCTACGTGAGGTTGTGGGACTAAAGGCCGAAGCAGAGGGTGAAGGGAGAAGGGGCCGACGACCAACCTGCAGGGTGGGTCGGAGGGGGTCGGAGGGGGTCGACTGCTCTGCAGAAGTGCGCAAGCCCGGCTCCTTCTGCGGGGACACACATTTGTTGTGTGAATGATCTCGGCCGATAAGTCCAGGTTAACTATTAACTCCTAACCAGCTGATAAAGTCTTGCTCTTTTGGTCAGGCGCAAACACAAGTAGGACAGAGAGAAGTTGTTGGACCACCCCAACGTGTGTTTATGTGTGCAACTAAATGTGCACTAAAACGCACCTCGTACACATCGTAACATGCGAAGCCATCGCTGCCCTACCTCGTCTCTGCAGCCTCCGGGTTACCTCCAGCCCTTAGCCTGGTCCAATCCCAGCCTGAGCTGAGGAGGACATTCTGCTGAAACCCTCCATTCTTTGCAGATTTGTGGGCCACAGAAAGAGCGAGACGCTGAGGAGGAGGCAGAGAGAGAGACAGAGAGCAATCTGTGGCTGGATAAAGTAGTGCGAGTCTTTGGAAACCTGGTCTGCACTGCATCAATCATAACGTCATATTAGGTTTCAAAGGGTTTTTAATGTACTGCCGCATTAGAAATGATACTACTTTGAGACACAAGAGGGCCCACTAGTGCACTTTCTTTAGTCAGGGTTTGGTCTTAGTTGACTTAGCACACTTGAAACAGTTGATACAACATTGCAACAATGTGTCCGCGTATTGTCTCCTTGTCGTTTAATTTATCACACCTACACCTTTTGTATTTTTAACAGATTTTCAGCACATCAGATCACTTAAATTGACTTGTTTCCACAGCTACACCAATTGCTTCACATACAGTTTGGGACACACACAGTAAGGAAAGGGATGCTTTGGTCCAACCGGCCTGTAAGTCACTATCAAAAGCGGCAGGGTGGATTTTCATAACCTTCTTCTGTCCGTTGCTGCTTGGTGAGAGGACTCTGTGGATGGTTTACAGTGACGTTTCTTTTAACTGCTCCTTTGAATCTAATGCTCCTGAATATATACAAAAGGGATCATATATCATCAACTCGATGAGTGGAAATAAAATCCAGGGTTTTCATGTTTGCGGATCATTGATTTGCTCTATTTCATTAAATCACGGCCTTTCGGCTTACGGAAAGCATTCTTGAGCAATGAGCCTCCTCAAACATCAGTTAGATGTGCGCTGCTGCTCCTTTGTTTGTTAGCAACCACGGTCGTGTTGTCCAAACACATTTCACAAAGTCACCTGCATCTAACCGGTTGGGTTTATTTTGGCGAGAAAGAAACAGCGTCGTATCGCTGCTGAAGCCAGTTAGGTTCGAATGTTTGGAAGGATTTTACTCGGAACGGCTCGGGAGATGCTGCTCACATCCTGCTCACGTGTCTGCGGCTTGATTCATCTGTTGAGATTAGAAGGGTTTGTCAGATAAATTCAATTTGGATAAGCAAAGATTCAAAATATTTGTACAACATGTGGCGAGCCAAAGTACGCCACAGCACTTTATAACATCACCATATAAGATGATATGTAGTCGAGGTATTTATGACTCAGACACAGATTGAGTCGCTTGCTGTTTTTGTTTACCAGATAAAGTTTCGCTCAACTTTGTTTGTCCATGATGGGAAAAATGTGTCACAGCAGAGACATCACAGCAGCATTGTGTGTCTTATAAACTCTATATTTCTAAACACGGACATGCTTGCCTTGCTACAGGAGTCTGTTTGATGATGAGAGGCCCAACTCCGTTGTGATGCTCTGCTTTGCTTATTTTTCATGTCTCTACGTCGCATTTACGTCAAACTTTATTTTTTGTCTCCTGCGTGTCAATTTACACCATCAAACCGCATTCTGCCGGGGAATCGCCCCCCAAAACCCCAAACAGAAATGATGGATTCTCTTATTTTTTCTTTCTGTTCTAATTGCCAGGTTTGTGACCACATTGCTGCCCACTGTATGTTTACGTTTACCTCACTGGACTGAGACATTTTAACCCATAATTAGCAGATTCTTTGTTCATCAACTGGCAACACATGGGTGAGACAACAAGAGCTCAAACTATTTGAAAATGAAAGTAAACTACGGATTTATACAATCCTTTGTATGTGGGACATACGAGGACAAAATGCTTCTGACTCATCTTGTGAAAACTTCAAGCCTATTCTTTCAATTCATATTGATATAAAATTACATGACAACTTCAATGTACAGCTATTACTATTATTATATTCCAAAATTGCAACATAGCAACTAAATCGTTCACTTATACAATCCAAATACAACGCCCTTCACGCAAAGACGGAAGTATCTGTTAGTATCGTTTTAGAATCCACACTGATAGATATTTAAAGACCCTCTGCGGTCAGAACCATTATACCATCTGTTATTTTCACACACATACAATTCCGACATGTACAGAATGGGATCATTTCTGCAAATGGAGCGTTACTTCCTTGGCACAGCTACTAACCATCCAACCCGAACCCATCTCTTCTCTGCATTTCCCCGTACTGTTGCTCTTCACATCTTCCTCGCTCGTAATACTATTTACAGACTCTCCTCCCACAGTGTTCTCACCAGGGTGACACACAGAGACAGATCAGGACCGGCAGCACGCCGGGGGCTCTGCCGCCGTGAAGCAGCAAGGCAGCGTGTGAGCGAGGAGGCGAAACTGCAGGGTATGAAGCTCGAGGCCGTGAGGAATGTCGGAGGGGGGGGGGGGGGTGAATAGCTCCTCTTAACAATCTCCCATTGCAGCATCCCACAGAGGGAACGGGAGCTGGTGATAGCCGGCTGGGAAGAGTTGCCGTGGGATTTAAAATTTTTTTTTTTTAGGCCACTCAAAATATAGTGGAACAAGCATGCTCTTCCAGACCTGTCTGTAAATGATGCCTTGGTTACTCAAGTGACTCTTAACAGAACGGCTCGAGTCCTTCATCGATCTGCGTGGACCAGCAATTCATCCCAGCCACCATTTGACATTGTGCACAAACTGCACACAATCTTTCAAATGCAGTTGGGGCACCGTCATATGGTCCCAGTGTGACAGTCGGTTCCTGAGCTGTCTCCGGTCCACACGCCATAATGTGATAAGAGTGCTTCATGTCTCCGGCTCAGCTCCCTGAGTGAGAAGAGAGCAAAGGACACGGCTTCTCCTCGACAGGAGGAGACACAGCGTGCAGGGGAAGGACAGACAGCCGGGGGGAGGGAGCCTCTCTTATTAGTGCTGCTTGGGAAAACAAGAGTCAAAATTACTTAGATATATCATTTTGTTTCGTGTAGTGATAAATATGCATCTTTGTAATAAAAAAAAATTGAGATAAGATGATCAGCAGGCCACTGTGTGTAGAAAATGTGAAGATCAGCTGGTTAGCTTATATAGACATGAAGACTAGAAACCACAAGCACCTCTGAAGCTCATCAACCTGTTATGGTTTGTCGCACAAACCGTGTAAAAAGACACTTGTTTTGAGTTTTTTAACGTTCGGCAAGAAAGAAGAACTATGTATTTTCCCAAATGAACTATTCCTTTACTGATAAAAACAAGCAATGGAGGCTCTAATATTCCACCGTATCTAAAGCAAGGAAATACTTACTCAATGTATAGTAGAAAAATGTAAAAGGTACAATATGATGCACGGTAAAAATACTTTTATTTGTATAAATACTAAATGTGAACTGTTTAGAATCACGTTTTTATAATTCCACGTTACACATAATTACTTTTAAAGACCAGAGTATTTGGTACAAAAAACTGTTGGTAGAAACTTTGGAGAAGTTACAACTACACAGAAAAAGCTGCTGAAGGTGAATAAATCCGACGTGTCGTCATATCGGCCACTTTTCTTCTCCTCCTCCTTCCTGAGAGGAGCGCGGAGGGGGGAAGGGAGAAGGGAAAGGGAGGAGAGAAGGGAGGAGGAGAGGAGCCGACGGGGGACGGCTCTGCGCGAGGGCTGAAGGAAACACAGTAAGAGCGTCCTGAAGAAAGGAGCCGGGAGTGAATGAGGACCAGGCGGCGGCGGGGGGGGGGACTTCTCTTCTCTCAGACAAAGGACGTCTTCTTCCTCTTCTTCATCCCCCTGTTCTCCTGCAGGATCCTGCGCACGAGGACTTCCTGTAAGTAGGACGCACTGCGAACGGGGAAACGTATCGTCAGCCGATTGACTTCACGCGTCTCCTCCTCGGCCGGCGGACTCCATGGCGCCGAAACGCGTCATCAATGTAGGAGACTTTGTTTTGGTGTTTGATGACAGCTGTTACTAAGGACGTTTGGTTGAAGACAGCCCGAGTGGTTAAGGGTGTGTGTGTGTGTGTGTGTGTGTGTGTGTGTGTGTGTGTGTGTGTGTGTGTGTGTGTGTGTGTGCGTGTGTTGCTTTGGGAGGGATGTGGACTGGGACAAAGTGAGGGATCTAAAGTTGCAGCCCCGTGGTCACCCCAACATCTGGCAGCAGCTGGAACCCGAGCACAGCGCCTTGTTGGAGAGATCTCCACGAGAAGCCCCACTGCTTATTCGCAGCAGTATTTTTATTTCCCGTCGTGTCTTTCACACGCGTGTCCATGCAGGCAGCAGCCCCGTGTCCTTGAGGTGCCCAGCAGGTGGTCCGCCCGTGTGAGAGCCCCCCCCATGGAGCTCTCTGGCCCCCGACAGGCACGGTGCTGAGAGGGGAAGTGGCTCCACATCACAAACTAAACAAAAGCAGGGAAAGCGCTGCGTGTTTATTCTTGCTGAGTTCAAGGACAAACTGTAGTGACATGATGAGTGGAGGGATTTCTCCGCTCAGAAGCCTTCCCACTCCTACGAGTCCGAATTAGTTTCAATGTCTTAACACGTCACTGTAGGAGTTATTGAGTGCTGCTTTTATGCTGCAGTTGGCTTTTTCCTGGATTGTCCTGACCTGCCTACTTTTCCTAGATTGAGTTTTGACAACCGCCTTGGCGACGAGTGCCAACCTGCTTCGTGTCAGTGGATCTGGATGCAGCGATGGGACGGTGATCGCTGAGGGAGATTTTTTTAAAGTCATGATTTCTAGGAAACGCAAAAACAGAAGTATTGTGGCCGTGTATTGAATGGAATCTGGTTCACGCCAGATGGGAGAGAAATGTGTAAGTAACTCTTCCGAGATTGATTTCAGTCTGAAGACGAGGAAGGTGGTCAGTGATTTATGAGTATATTTAGCGGCGGATAAGACTAACTAACCATACAAATAGCCATTACCAGGTTGCTACGTTGTTGTTTATCATAGTTTCTCAGTGCAATGGATTGATTTTCTACCTTCTTGGAGGACCACAGCTCCTCATTTAGTTCCCCATAGTGCACAAATCATCTTGTTATCTCCAAACGACCTCCGGGGATCCTACAGTTATTTGTAAAGTAACTACGTTTGCAATTTGTGGTGTTCACGAAATGTCCGTTGTATTGAACAACCTATACCACAAGCAAGTCTAGGTATTGGTAGAATCTCACTACTGTTATATATAATATATAATGTGTGCACTCAACATTCAGACACCGAGGCAGAAGGTTTGTGTGCATCCATCGTCTTTGTAGAAGCAGAAGGAGTCAGGAGGGAGCAGCGCGGAGGCCGAGCCATTCTTGTCTTTGTCTGAGGGAAATGTGAGGGTCACTCAGGGGATTTGTGCGTCAGAAACTTGCTGGGCTCCTACGGAGTGTGTGGTGGGGAGCGAGGGGGGCGGGAGCGTTGCACAGATTGAATAGGTTAAGGGGGCCACGGCGGCCGCGCTTTGAGAACCCAGGGAGGTGCATTCTGGACCAATGGTGGTCTGTTGGGAGCTGAGGAGCGAGTGGGGAGGAGGGAGTGGGGAGGTGGGGGGGGGGGCGGTCGTGGTATGTCGACACTTCTTTTTTGCGGCCTTTGTTTGAGTTGAGTGGCACCAGATGAAGTGGGCCTTCTTTCTTTCCTTTTTATTACTCGGGCACATGCACACGGGCCATCGGCTGATGCCCTCCTCTGGGTCACGCTGCCACCTTCTCACAGTTAACGGAGGTGTGTTTGTTTTTGGTGTTTGTGCGTCACTATTGACTTGTTGTTTACATTTCTTGGGCTTCTTATTCTCTCTGAAACCTCTGGGTTAGTGAAATAAATCTAAACTAACTCCGGTGCACTAAACCTGCTCAACAGCAGCCATCAATGGCATTTTCTCCTCTAGCCCCTTTTTCGCAGAGGCTACCAAAGCCGAAGCTCACGTGGTTATGGTTAGCGAGAAAGCGGCTCTGGAGGAGACCGGGCCCGGGTTGTTTCACAACATCTGGGAGGAATCGAGGGAACCGAATGAGCTGAACTCCTCTTAGAGCCTCTGTGTGGGCACCTCTCCTGTTTGGAACCCCCTGGTAAAGCGGGTGGATGTTGGCCTCCCTGAGGGTCCAGGTTGAGGTGTGAAAATCAAAGGGAGCCACCATGTAAAAGTGATTAGTTTTCTTTTTTGTACAAAAGTACTTTGTTCTGTCGTCTTGGTTCAGGTTTCACGAGATAACAGGTCTGCCCCTGGCTGGAGGCCATTGGTGTCTCTATCCCGGAAGGTGTCCTGACTTGTCCGCTGCTCTTGCATCATCTCCAACAGAATGGAGACTTGATGAAGGCTGAGAAGGACGCCTGTCCTTGAAGATGAAATGGTGATCGATTGTGAAATCAAAACGTTGAAAGTGCATGTTCAGTTTTCAAGCTACTGCTATTGCTTAATTCGCCGTCACTTTGCCTGGAGCTCGACTGCATTCTTGCATGACGGAGGGATACGTTTAGTCCTGCCCCACTGGCATCGCACTAGTTTCCTATCGCTTGCTATTTAAAAAAAAAAATCTCCTGGCCTTGAGTAGCTGTGTGTAGCCCTGAACATGATGAAGTAGCCTCTGAAGTGGGTTTTTGGTTTAAAGTCCTTCCTCCTAGCTGGTCCAGGTGCATGACCAAACCAGACCAGACCAGAAGCAGCAGCTTAGGGAACAGATTGCCTTGGTTTGAGGTTTCTAATTCAGGAGATGTGGAGTCCTCCCCGCCCAGATCCACTTGGGAGGAGGGGGGTCATCGGATCAGAGTGGGCGATCTAACAGCTTAGGTATGCTTTCCTAAACTGCAGATACACCAATCCCCCCTTTCCCCATTTCCCCATCCCCATACTGACTCAAACAGCTGGATTGTGCATGTGTTATGCTGAGTTGACCTGGTATTGGATACTGTTGTTTTAATACATAACATCCAATGCATTCATGTGTACTTATTGAAATGATGATGTTGCCTTACACATAAAACATTCATCCCAGCCACTTCCACGCAGTGAGGGAAAGAGTGTATATTTAAAACCCGTATCTGACCCCTACTTGGTTTCAGGCCAGACAATATGGAGAAGATCAAATAAAAGTATTTCTTACCGAAGGCTTGACAATCGGGACTTTCGCAAACATTTATACAAAGCGTTTATAGAGGAATAATCATCAGTATTGTGGATATGATGACTAAGTGTTTTAAGGCAAACTAGAGGCTACCCCTCTATTGTCATTTCAGAAAGTGGCTTCACTTTACTGTAACATACCCTTTAAAAACAGAAAAAGACAACAATTATGCCATATTTTGATTGATGTGTCCACACAACACAGGTTGCAAAATCCTATGTGGTCAAACTAAACGCCGTCTGGTCCGGGTTCACGACATCTGCCGGAGGCGATCAGGGAATTTAAACGGATGAAAGGGAAGCTCAAATAACTACCACATGATGCAGATTTTCTGAATTCATGAGCATCACCGATCACTTGTGACACAGCGGCATGATAGCGATTTAATGGGCCAGGTGTCGCGATCACGACTGAGAACGTTTGCTATCCTAAAGGTGGATGAAGCATTTTCCATCATCTCTCACACTCAGTCACAATGTCTCCAACCTCTTTCATAGAACAATCTGGGTCAACTGTCCTTTTAGATGCTGCAGCCAGCCACCTTTGGGCCTCCTTTACTTTCCCTCTCAGTGGCCAGCACTCATTACCTCAGCACCATGGCATGCTACCAGAGCCTCCGCTGATATGTCAGACCAATTACTCCAGATTTACTACTCGGCACGCTCCCTCAGCTAACGTCCAACGGACGGACCCCCGTACACCTCGTATCCACTGCTTCGTCTGGGCTTTGAATGGGCTCGGCTAGAACCGTGCTTCATTAGCGGACATTTTATGGAGCCTATGGGCTGTTTGGCCAAAGGTATTTTAGAAACAAGCCGTTGTAATAGCCAGGAGAGAAAGCGTGTCTCACAAGGAGACCCGTCTTGTGTTTGCTTGCTGGATGAAGGGTTGGACGGCATTGCTGCCTTCATCTTGTGGCGAATATCTGCTGCATCATCGGTCGATCTCTGCCAAGTGTGTGGAATCATGAAAGCGCCGGGATACCCCCCCGTGATCCGTCTCTGCTACGGTTGATGCATATCTACGGCGGCTGGTTACGGAGAGCGCAACGATCTGAAAGTTTGAAGATGCATATCTCTCAAAAGCAACTGGGAGGCCGAGATCTCTCTCACCCAGTGGCGCCTCCGCCACGAACAAGACATAACTGAGCGTCTGATCGCACAGATGCACAGACTTCTCGGGAAGTCTGCGGAACTGCCAGAAAAGCAAGCGGAAAGTGTTTCAGGATGCAGTGTCCTTTCGGCAGCTGCAAGCATGGGCGTGCATGCACCAGGCGATACCTGCAGCTCACCAGCTGTGCAGACCATCATCTAAAACGAGTGTTGTCCTTACTGAGATATGACGTCGTCTATGTGAAAGGTGCTTACCGACTGCCTCGGCGAGGCGGGTTCATGCTCCGCCTCTGTAGTTTAAAGAGGCACAGCGGCTAATTTGAGGGACATCGCAGTCTCAGCAGACAGCGCCGTGCCCGGCCTGCATGGGCTGTATAATCAGCTGTAAACAGGGAAACCCAAAACCGTAGCCCGGGCTGTTGAAACTCATTGTAACTCCTGCAGAATGGAAACTGTGAGCCGTGGTTCTGCGAGGAGGCCCGGAATAACCTCGAGGACTGTAATAAAACGGGGCACACCCCAAACCATCCTCAAAAACACATAAACACGCTTGGGAATGCATGGCGCTTTGCCGCTGTAAAAGTACAATGGCGTCACACGGAGAAGCCCTTTTGTGAAGGTTTAGATTCAAAGAACACAGACGGGCAGATTGTTGCCACGGAGGCTTTCGGTACAACAATGATGCTTCCTGTGGGCTTCCTGTTCATTCTTGCCGTTTCCTCTTCTGGAGAAAACATTTTTAAGCAGATACACCACGTTGATGTCGGCAATTCACGGCATTCCCAAAAGCCCAGCGGCGCCGCCTGCATCTGCAGCCCGTGGGATGCCTCACCTCGTGCTGTCATGCCTGTGACTTTGTTATTGTGAATACTTTCTGTTTTTGTTGAACCGAATCCGATCGTATCAGAGAATACAGCCCGTGCGGGGGTGTGATTTAATATTCTGAATGCAGGCTGGCGAGGAAGTGCAACTACAGAATCGCAGAACAACGCTTTTGTGCTCCCCTCATCATCCCCGATGACCGCAATAGAAACGGTGCACTCTGAGTTCATCTTTTCAGCTTTCTCAAGTGCCCAAATTGTAAAACAACTGTTCTATTACAGTGATGGAATCATATTTTGTTTGATGCTCATTTGAGAGAAGAATAGCATGGAGAAATCTGAACAGCAACTTACAAACCTCAATCCATTATTTTATTTCAATAGCCTGTCGCCAGAAGACATTCTATTTGTATAGCACATTTTAACAAACATCCAAACATAAAGCAAGAAGATTTAAAAACTGTTAAGAACATTGATTGCAACAAGGAACATAACATTAAACAGAATAACATTTACTGTGTGTTTTAAGACCACCAAAATGCAGAAATGGTCAATTAAAGGCAGCAGCAAACAGAAAGATTAAAGGATTTAAAGGAGCTGCTGCAGCTTACTGGGACTTTGTTCCACATATGTGGAGCAGAAAAGCTGAAGCTGCTTCTCCATGTCTAGTTTTAGCTAGATCCATGCAGAAATAGCGACACAAAATCAGGACAAAAAATATACGATCCGGTTTGAATGAAACAAAGCACTTGACTCTTCATTACCAATGTTTCGTTAACAATGTTTTAATGCCGCGTGCACCGCAAATTATACCCCGTTCACCGCCACTGTGGAAGCGCGGGGGACCACCAGAGAGGCCAGAGAGATCCCCCAGGGGACCCGAGTCCATCCTGCTGGGTTTTTAGACCGGCTCTCTCATATTTTCCTGTGTGTGTGTCATCATAAACGCTGAATCACGACTCTCATGACATCAGAGGGCTTACACGAGACCTGGCTTTGTCGACGCCAGCGTGGCCACGACAACGCAATCACAACACGGCAACAGCGATCGCAGTCGCTTTGATTGAAACCTGCACGAGCTCGCTCGCTCAAACACACGCACACACACACACACACACACACACGTCTGTTACGGGTTACAACTTATTTGCAATCAGGGTCAGGCAGTGGTTTTAATGGGGAGCTGCTCTGAGTTGATTTGTGTTGACAGCTGCACACGAGGCTCCTGACATTGAGCAGATAAAATCAATCGCACAAAGGCCCAGTGATCTGTGAGCGGAGTGACGACACTGTGTGTGTGTGTGTGTGTGTGTGAATCATCTTTGTGGCTCCATCGGACATCTGGAAGTGTTGCTCACGCAGCCGGCTGGTGGTGAATGTGAAGTAACGCTCTGTGGGAAGATCTGGCCTCTGTTTGATGGGAGCGGGAGTCTGTGATTCACAGTGGATGGGAAACCAGCTGTTTGCCTCCTTCTTACCCCTCATGTATACAGATGCTGTGTGTCGCTGACCCTCTCGTGTGTGTGTGTGTCTGTGTCTTTGCAGACGGTGCCATGGCCGAGGGAAGCTGCTTCGGTGCACTGTAGCTCCGAACCGGGAATCCGCTGCACCGTCCTGTTTGTAAAGAGAAGCAACTCAAACCCCGTTTCTCCACGAGAGCTTCGAGAATTGTGAATTGACGCAACATGTGCCACGTTATCGTGACGTGCCGCTCCATGCTGTGGACGCTGCTCAGCATCGTGGTGGCCTTCGCCGAGCTCATCGCCTTCATGAGCCCTGATTGGCTGCTGGGATTCCCCCGGGCGGACTCCGGCGAGTACCGGCCGTCTCTCGGCCTGTACAGCCGCTGCCTGCGCATCGACCCCCGGGGGGTGGGGGTGAGCTGCGGGCCCTACGCCGGGACGTTTGGAGAAGTGGCCACCGGCTTCTGGCAGGCCGCCATGTTGTTTCTGGCGGCCGGGATATTAGTGCTTGGAGGAGTGGCCTGTATCTCCGTGTTCAGCATGTGCTTCCAGAGCATCATGAAGAAGAGCATATTCAACATCTGCGGACTGCTCCAGGCCATCGGAGGTGAGACATATATCTACACAATATCATTAAGAGGGTTTGCATACTTTGGGGTATCTGAAGTAATTACCAACAACAATTAGATTATTTATTTTATTCCTGGCTCAGAAAACATTTTGATTTGAAAACAGGTTTGTGAAAAATGCTTTTTTTTCAGCATGTAAACGCCTTTTAATATTCAATTAAATTGCAAAGTCTGTAAAGCTGCAACATCCTCTGTCCCAAAAAAGGGAATAAACCTCAGTGAGAACGGCAGAGGAGGGATCCCTCTCCCGGGATGGACAGCTGATGGGCGGGTGATGTGCCTCTTGTTTAGCCATCGATTGCCTTTCTCCGTCCAAATAAAGACTTGTAGGCTGTGAAAACACAAGTGGAGATTGTTTTCCCTGAATAACTGGTATATTGTGTTTTTCACAATCTCACCACAATGCAAATGATTTCTCCAAAATAGCAGTATGATGTCAAGGAAAAACTGGGAGTAAAAAATAAAATAGTTGAGTTCGCTAAACTACGTTTTTTTATTAGTTTTTCATGCGTTAACTTAAACCCTATGAAAACCCTATTTCCTCCTTTATTAATTCGATGCTTTTTCCATGTTCACACATTCAAAGTACCCTGATAAAAGGGAAGGACATATGTATGTATGTTCCCACAAAACGAGCAACCTCAGGGAACCAATGACGAAACGACTGAGGCTGAACAGCTACCAAGCGCTAATGATGGAGTTTAGTGTTAACACGCCCGTACAAGCCCATTACTGTACGTCTCATAACCATGCCGTGGCCTCTGGGGGAATGCCTCGGCTGCTCGCCATTGTGCCTTTTCCTAGCTGGAGGCTGGCGAGGCCAAGCGAACCGCGCCAGCTCCTTCTGCATGCCTCTACATCGACGCCACAGGTGCGTTTGCGCTCTCGTTGTGTGACATCACCGCAGAGGCAGTCAAATGCGGTCACAAATCAAACGCCCGTCACCTCTCGCAGCTGAGTCACCGCGTTCCACCGGCTGCGCTGTGATCCGCTTTGTGCTCTCTCTGCTCCCACGTCTCCGTGACTCAACCCCTCATCTGGGCGTCTTCTCTCTCTCTCTGCCTCCAGGCCTGCTGCTGATGGTGGGCCTCATGCTGTACCCTGCCGGTTGGGGTTCAGAGAAGGTGCTCGGCTACTGCGGGCCCGAGGCTTTGCCCTTCAGGCCGTCCCAGTGCTCCCTCGGCTGGGCGTTCTACGCGGCCATCGGAGGAACGCTGGGATCCTTCCTGTGCGCCGTTTTGTCCGCGCAGGCAGAGATCGCCACCTCCAGCGATAAGGTCCAGGAGGAGATCGAAGAGGGGAAGAGTCTGATCTGCCTGCTCTGAGCCTTTTTAGAAACCTTCTCCTGTGTGTGATTTCTTCTTGTATGGACACTTCTGAGGGATTTTCTTCATGACAGCGTGTTAAAAAAAGATGGATGCCTTTTTGAACCATCACAGCATCGGGCCACATGGACTTTGCCTGTAGACCAATGTTTCTGACCGTGATACTGTTTTTATATTTGTTGTAATTCTCGCCGTAAACAAACCACTGTGCAGGAAATAAGAGGAGAATAAGAGTCGAGGGAGGTAGTGGACGCGTCGTTGGCGTTGCTGTGGACAGGTTGTGAACGCTGCCAGACGGGCGGTGTCTAACGCCATTATGCCGTTTACTCGCACGCTTCACCTGCAAAACCACAACAAAACCACTGAATGCTGCCAGATGCGCGCGGCCAAACTCCCAGCAGCCGCTTCATTAACTGTTGAGGTTTGTAAATGTCCTCACGGTCTGATTGTACGACACGGCTGACTTTACACTCGCAACGTAACGGACTGTTCGCTTTAAGAGTTTTCACCTGTCAGGCGGATCATCAGCAGGTGTCGTGCAGCTTGTTAGCCGGCCGAGTGTGTGGAAAGCTCAACCTTCGTGGTGCCCACTGGGAGATTAAAGCAGGCTGCACTGTGTTTTATGAGCTCACCTTCCTGGTGAGACGGGATTAGGTGAAAAATCCAAGAAGCCTCCGTTGAGTGTTAGCTGGATGAATGCAAAACAGCTCATCATTGTTTTTTTCCTTGGTACTTTTGGAGATTATTGTGTTTTTGCTTCCTGCTATTAATTAATTCCACTTGGCTTCCTGTTTTACCAAAGCCGCTTTGATTCATTCTAGATGAAATGTGCAATAATTCAACTATATTGTGTCTCCTGCGAGTGAGAGTGGGCGCAGCCAGAGGATGAAAGGTTTCTGGTCCGACCTGTGCTCGGATTAATAAGTTGACTGTCAGCCGATTTTGTTACATTAACGAAAGATTCTACAGCATCCGTGATACAGTCTGTACTTTGTACCCCAATAAACCAGGCCTTCATTAGTGAATCTGTCTGGGATTTGTGTGTTACTCTGAAGAGGTGCTTCTTTTCTGCGTCTTTGCTGATGAAACTACACATCCCAAGGAAAGACTGACACCTATGGAGAGGAGATGACATGTAACTTGTGCCTCCCAGCCAAAGGTTGTAACATACATTTATATTCTTAATAAAAGGTTGAAGTACTTTGACACTAATTTGATACAAATTACTGGTAAAAAAAAACCTTTCTGAAACATTTCTTTCAAATTTTATTTCATGTTAATACCATAAATATACAAAACTCAAACTATTTCACATGCAACGAAGGCCAGAGAAGAGTGCGACACGTTTTCTTTTTTACAGGTGATTGATAATGGGGATCAAATGTTCAACTTTACAAAATATACAAGTGTATCTTTTTGAAGGAGTTCCTCTTCTGAGTCAGTGAAGTACTGTGATCACAGCTCAAACGGTTTTGAGCCAGCGAGCTTCTAATCCCTCGCTCTGCAGTGCGGACCGGCTGCCTTAATACATTAAGTAATTACCCACAGTGGCATTAAACACCTGTTAAAAACTAAAGATACATGGGAATCATGTAGGTGATCGTAAGTAAAACATGGCAAGGGAGCACATCACAAACCAAGATATAAAAAACCAAATCTATATGGACATTGGTAGATTTCTCACAGCTTTTCAGGACAGTAACACTTGAGGGAGATTTTTGCCTATTTTTGGGCCTTTCATACCAAGTCGCAGTCACACTTCTGATTAGCTGATGCCATGATGATGTCATTATAAAACCACACACAAAACATAATGACAAAGCATACCAAACAAATTTGAAATGTATACAACTTTAAATTACACCATAAATAAAACATGTTCATCTTAAGCGCTAAAAGGTTGACAAAGAAAACAAAGGTGCAATGTATATTAAAAACAATACTGGCAAACACGTAGTCTTACTTCATGACCAAGTACTGACCGTCACCCTCGCAGGAGTATTAACACCTCTGGCAGAATTCAGCCTGTACGTTTGTAACAGCAGCGCTGATCGTCAGTCATCTCAAAGCTCGTCTTAACCATCGAGACGTCTGCTGACAATTCTCCAATACTGACTAGAGCAAAATGCGCTTTCTACGTTTGTAACAATGGACTTTGTCCGTCATGTACACAGTATCCATGTTTATGTTGTCTTTTCACTTTATGTGTACAGGTTAATCTTTAGTAAAAGCGTAGTGTGACCTCTGGTTCACTTGTCTCCCCATCAATGAATGGTATGCGTCCTCAGGACGCCTCTCACCTTCACAGCAGCGTTAAGATTTCAACCAGTGACGGGCTACAAAAAAAAACAGATGGAGCCACACAATTGTCTGTTAATCTCATTCATACATAAAGGAAGATGTGAATATTTACCCCCCCTCCTCTTAGTGCACCAAGCCTATGAAATCAGCTGACTGAGCTGAGCTCTTTTAGGTTTGCGCTGACCGGCGGTGCGTCCTCACAAAATAGATCCACAATTCTGTCAAACATCCTGTGACTGGGGTCATGCCATAACTTCACTCATTGAAACCAAACGAGGGAAAATAATTATCCCCCCGGGTTCAAAACCAGCTGGCACCTGCAGCCGGAGGAAAGGCTACGCATGCTTTTTGTCATGATACTGTCAATTGGTAGTAAACCCCAGAGATGCTGACTCAGCCCACAGTTGCTCAACCAACAGGTGCCACTGGAGTACTGGAGGGGTGGGGGCTGCAGGCAGGTCCTAAAATACCAACATATTTCTTATATGAACTGCTAGGGCGGAGTTTGTCTCAGAATAGAAGAACAGATGTAGGACTAGGAGCAATTTACGTCTCAGATTAAAATGATCAAGCTCCAAACTGTCTGAGCCGCTGTTCTGTTTGAAGTGAAGAATGCATTTGCGTACGCTGTACTTTCGGCATGTGACCAAGAACACAAAACTATGCACAAAAATATGATCCAATCATCCCTTTTTGTAACTCTATACCGTATGAAGCAGGCAGGAAGCTGCCATGACAGAAACAAGGTAGGTGCTACCTGCGAGGATCACCTCGAGGCGACCGCAGGGCAGGGACAACGAGATGACATGCCACACACTACAGGGCACGCCTGGAGTTTCAAGGGGTGAACCTGGATTTTTTTTTTCTTTTTAAGTGAAGGTGGACAACTCTGGTTACTTTATCTGACTAACATGTTTTATTCCTGACTCTTTGCACAACCGGAGCAAAGTGTGCAGCGCGGCACAGCGTCCACAAATAGAATCAATTTGATCTGAGAGCCTGCGGGGGGGCCAGAGTTGTGCATCCCCAACTTTTGAGTGTGTTCCGTGTGTGTGCGCGCGTGTGTGTGTGTGGGGGGGGTACGCGTCAGTCTATGGCTGAGGTTTGAAGGCGCCGCGGGCAGCGTTGGTGGCAGCGTTGGCTGCAGCGTTGGCAGCCGCAGTCTGAACGGTTTTGTTGGACATGACGCCGGTTGCGAACTCCTGCTGAGCCTTCTCGAAGCTCGCGCCGGTGGTGCGATACAGCGCGTGCACCTGGAGAGAGCCGGAGAGAGGAAAAGAGTGAGCCGGAATCAAGTCGAGGGATTTCAAATTCACCCTCCAGCGTCCTACCGTACCTTCTTGAACATAACGAGCGAGCCCACGGAGAGCGCAGTGAAGAGAGCCGAAATCAGTAACATGATGATGCCCACGGGGATGTTGGTGTTGAGGCCGGTTAAGGCTGCGATCCAACCGCTGGCAAAACAACAACGCCGATGAGGGCTGAACGTCGGCGTGCACTCGCACAAAAGCAGTCTCAAAAATACTCACCACGTTCCCCAGCCGGGGATGCCAACAGTTTGTAGAACGTGAACCCCAAACTGACAGATATAGACGAAGAAGAAGACAAAGAAGCGGAATGAACTGTCACTCCTGTTGTGGAGACAGAGAAGAAGGTATAGTGTTTACTCGGCACTCTTCTCGTTTTTCAGTGTAGGGTTAGAAAAGGAGATATGAATAAAAATAATTTCAAAAGACCACTGCCCAGCTTTTTTCCCCCCTTAAACCCCATCCAAACACAATGCTCATGCACAAAGACACGTTACTGCGACTATCTGCTGCAGAACCCGCCTGCTTACCTGAAAGCCCCGTAAAGCGGTCTGTACCAGCAGACGAAAGAACAGGGTGTGAAAAGCAGAAACCATAGCAGTGCCAGGCCAAAATCTACACCGTGAGATGATTCCACACAGAACCAGGCCAGGCAGCCGAACATGTTCACAAAGAGCGTGCCCGCATGAACTGGTAGACAGAAGAAACAACAACAAAATAAACAACTTCAGGTGTCATTTTTGTACAATAACACAGTCATTTATAATGTATGAGGACCCAATCAAATAAAACTCTCTTGGTTTTCTAAACTTCAAATACATCCCCCCCGTGTGTTGAAATTTTTATGCTTGCCTTTTCTGGAAAGCCGACCAATTTTAAAATAAAAATACAATATTTACATAAATGTACATGAAATAAAAGGCAGAAATGAGGTAAGGGGAGATGTGCAAAACTGAGCAGGTTGTAAAAATAAATAAATAAATACAATTAAATGTGTGCAATATAAATTAACAGTACAAGTGAAATCCTAACAAGCTAAAGTGCAGACCAGTTGTGAGTTAGGCTATAGAGTCCTCTCAGCTGTTGAGGACTCCAATGGCAGTGGGGAAAAGCATGGTGGTCCTGCATTTGGCACTTCTGAACCTCCTGCCTGAGGGTAGAAGCGTGAACAGTCCATGTTGGGGGTGGGTGGGGTCTTTGAGAATGGAGGCAGCTCTCCTGTGAACCCTGCGGTGGTAGATGCTCTGCAGAGAGGGCAGTGGGGTCTTGATGATCTTTTCTGCTGTCCTCAGCACTCTCTGCAGGCGTTTGCGGTCCATGGTGGATGTGCTGCCGTACCACACGGTGATGCAGCTGGTCAATATGCTCTCCATGATGCAGCTGTAGAAGTTGCTGAGGATCTTGGGAGACATCCCAAACTTGCTCAGCCTCCTCAGGAAGTACAGCCGCTGTTGAGCCTTCTTGACCAGCTATGTTGTGTTGAGTGTCCAGGTGAGGTCCTCGCTGAAGTGGACCTCGAGGTATTAGAAGCTGCTCACCCTCTTAACTTCAAGCTCCTGGATGAAAAGTGGTTGATGAGGTCTCCTCTCCTTCCTCATGTCCACTTTCAGCTCCTTGGTCTTGTCAGTGTTGAGGGTGAGGTTGTTATCCTCGCACCATGACACCAAACTGGCCACCTCCCTCCTGTATGCCGCTTCGTTCCCCCCAGTGATGCGTCCTTTCACTGCGGTGTCATCAGCAAACTTCAGGACGATGTCATCCTTGTGGGAGGCGACGCAGTCGTGGGTGAACAGGGTGTAGAGGACGGGGCTGAGGACACAACCCTGTGGGGTGCCGATGTTGGTCCAGATGCTGGCTGAAGTCCTGTTTCCGATCCTGACAGACTGAGGCCTGCCCGTCAGAAAGTCAAACAGCCAGTCACAGAGGGTGGGGTGCAGACCGTGTGTGGAGAGTTTATGGATGAGTTTGTGGGGGACGACCGTGTTGAAAGCGGAGCTGTAGTCGACAAAGAGCATCCTAATGTAGGAGTCCTTGTTTTCTAGGTGAGAGAGGGAGTAGTTGAGGGCAGCAGTGGTGGCGTCTGAGGTGGACCTGTTGCGCCTGTAGGCGTACTGCTGGGGATCCGGTATGCTGCTCTGAATGTGGGACAGTATCACTATCTCAAAGCACTTCATGATGATTGGAGTGAGTGCTACTGGCCTGTAGTCATGAAGTAATGTGATAAACAAGCAGACAAGAGTGTCTGATTACAAAGTGACTCTGCATAATATTTGATGATTCGGGCGGCTTCTCTTGGAGTGCGATATGTGGGTTTGTCTCATGTATCCATGTGTGAAGGGAATGTGTTAGAATATTCACAGGTGCAGGAAGCCACACAGCTCGATTTTAAGGTGAGTCCGACGATCCACTTACACATCCACAGGTTGTACATGATCTTCACGGTCTTTTGGAACTCTACAGGAATATCCACTGCTATGTCGTGGTAGAAACATGGGCCAGCGGGGAACCTCTCTGGCAGCGGAGGCCAATTGTTCTTACGCCCTGTGTGGACAAAGGTAATGGCGTTTAGATGATGAATAGACTCTACTACTATGCAGTTGCTTGCAATGCTTACAAACACAACAGCAGAATGACTTACAGTACATTGCTAATGAAAAAATATAACAGTACTATAATCTTCATGTTGCATTTCCAACGTTTTGTCACATAATAATTATTGCACTTTTTTCCCCTCAGCTTTGCGATGACACGTACGAGGCATTTTTGCAGAGAATTCTGTAATTTTGGATGCAGCTGAAAAGAAGCAGTCACAATGCATTCCCATCAAGGTCAAGTTGGGTGAATTCACACTGTTGACACAAGACAAGATCTTGGTATTCAAAACACCAGGGAAGATTTGTGTTAATCTTGCGATGAGTGGAGGTCACTTTGTTTTGCAATTAGAATTTAAAACTTCACACCATGTCCCCGTAAGATTATCTGAACACTGACGCACAACTCATCAGTTGACCCGGCGCACCGTGTATCTCGGTTTAGAGAGCACAGACTCCCTGTTGTCTAAATGAATATGGACTAAGACAAAACACTATTTAAGTTTTTCCCAACAAAAATATAATTTGGCACATAGATATACACTATATTATATCACATGTGACTCAGGGAACCAAATGTTGCCAAGTTAACACATGAACTTTCTGGGCATTAAGAGCGCTGTGAATATAGCATTGATTAGGAATCACCACTCAACACCCTGAGGTGGGGCAAAGGGGTGAAGGAGCTGGTTGACCCACTGACCGGCCCCGTGGGACTGTAACTCTCTCTCCCGACGGTCGAGCTCTGCCGCTTTCTTCTCCAGCTCCTCCTGCCGCCTCAACAGCTCAGCCTGAGCGCGCGCTTGGTCCTAATACAGACACAGAAATGCTGTTAGATTTGACGATCCAACATCACACTGGAGTTATGATTTACAACCAGGGGAGTAATGAAGGTATTTTCCAAGCTAGTTTGAGGAGGGAAAAGAAAGGGGTTACGAGTGGAAAAGCAATCAGCTACTGTTGTTAATACACACGTCTTCTTCAGATATCATTGAACTAGCTGGAATATTGCACTGCAAGAGGAAAGCAACAAGTGGGGAAAGTGAAGGATTTATAACTACTGAAGTCAGTGACACAAAGGGGGTACAGGAAACACCAGATGGAAGACAGTACCTCTTTACGCTGCTATAAGGCCATCAGAAAATCAGATGAGGGTTTGGAAGACAAGAGGAAATGTGAACCAGCAACCAAGACAGAGAGTATCTGTACAGGTGCTATAAAACTACATACAAGTCCATTCATAAAAGAAACATGATCAGTGTGTTGCACCTGAGCCTGTAGCTGCGAGTAAGCCGGCGGCTCTTCTGTGGGCTTCATGATGGCAGGTTGTGTGTTCTGCTGTGGCGGGGCAGGAGTAGCTTTGGGGGCATTCCCAGGGTCCGCCTGTAAACAAAGACAGACCCCTCATCAAAACTGTATTTGGCCCAAAATGTATTTTTTTCCAGTAAAATCCTGTGACCTACAGATGGAAGAAGAGAGAAAGAAGGAAGTGGATAAAATGAGGTCAGTTATAGCGATGCTTAATTAAGCTGACCGTTCTGGCATCTGTGAAGGGGTTGTACTCTTCCAAACCACCAGGAGGGGCGGATCGCGTCACCTGCGTCACCGAGGGATCCTACAGGACAGAGATCACCATAAAGTGTTTTAAGTGGGTAAAAGCTACTACAACAAAGACCCATCAGTTGTTGTTAGGTAACCTGTGGCTTGTATTGAAAGGCCACAGCTGAACATTCAATGGGTCTTCTTGTTGTATTTGTTCTGACCAGTTAATATTTTTAATTGGTAAGGCGGAAACTGAGCGCGGGATGCACACGCAACACAGTAGTAGTGCTAATATTACTACATGTGGCCCATTTGAAACACAATGAATGGGATGAGGAGAGGGGCAACTGGAAGATGCCACTAATTCCACACTACAGGACAGTCTATGGTGGCCCACAATGTGTCACAATTAGGAGCCAACAGATGGAGGTTTTCATTCCATCCAAGACTCCACCGGCTAACTCCACCCTCTGACTAACACCTGGCAGTACAGGGGAGGGGCTTAACATTTAAATCACCAACTCAGGTGCACTGTCAAGAAGAGAAACCAGCCGACTGTTGCCATAGTCACGGCCTATAGCCTGAACCCACACAACCATGAACAAAAAAGATCATTATCTTAGCTAGATTTCAGTGCTTTGTCACCCACTACGAAGAGACATAAGCAAGTTCGTTTCATGGCAGTGTTGTTTGCAACGTTTTTATTTGGAATATAATCATACAACAAAAACGTAACGTTAAGTTTGTGTTGGACCACCTTTGTTACAACATAACCAGTAGCACGTAGCTAACTTATTTACCAAGCTAGCAGGTGCCAGTACATTTTTAGTGACTGTGACCAGAGCTAGCCAGCTAACATTTGTCTCTGTTCTTATAGTTGGTATTTTGCAACGTGAAGAACCATTTAATGTAGTCAGAATGCGGTCGATGCCGTGAACGATAAATAACTAGTCCGGCTACATAGCATTAGCTAGCGGTACACCAAGAAACCGCTCTAGCTAACACTAACCTAGCTGTCGTGTTAGCTGCTAACGTTAGCTAAGACGACTAGCAGGGAAGCTAAAGTAAGACCGGCCTCATTGGGCTCTTAAGCGCACGTTAGCTACCTGAAAGGGGTTGCTGAAGTCCGGGTCTGCAAACGGGTTGCTGTCAAAGTCGGACATTGTCCTGCCTTTTTAGTAACGTTTTCCTGTGTGGAAGAGCTTCCAGAGTATCCAGGGAAGGGGCTGCCTCTCTCTGCCTGCCCGCCGTCTTCTCCGCCTCCTGCTGATGGAGACCCCTTGATTAGCAAGCTAGCCAGTAGCACAACAAATGGCCGGAGAGGATGCGTGGTGCGCGTCGCCGCCCTACGTCACTGCTTCGGCATTGCGGACAGCACACCTTCTGGACAGGTAGCTTCTCGGTTAATAGGTCACCCCGCGTAACCCCACGATTTAACTAAGCTATGTCATTAAAAAATATTATTTCCTTATTATCACGGGAACCGGTTTACTCCATAGTGCTTCGGTGGTGCATCTGTTTTTAACAAATGCAGTTGTTGCTGACAAACAACTGAAACTGAGCCTGAAGGGCCTCTGGGGCCTCTGGGGTCCGTGGGGGTCCGGGACACCATGGAGGTCGCTCACTTTGCCTGGTGGTTCCATCATTGAATACAGCCCTATTATTAGGCAAGGCAAGGCAATTTTATTTGTATAGCGCTTTTCATACACAAGGCAGACTCAAAGTGCTTCACATTATAACATTTCATACAATAAAGTGAAATAAAATGCAGGAATTAAAAGACAATTAAAAACAGCAAAAACAATTCTAAATTAAAATCTTATTTAAATTGTTTAATTAAAAGCAGAGGTTAAAAGTGCAATGTAGGTCAAATTTAGCAGAAGGCGAAGCTGAACATAAAAGTTTTCAGTCTTGTTTTAAACGTGGTCAGAGTTGGGGCAAGTCTTAAATCTTCAGGAAGTTTATTCCAGCTGTTTGTTGCGTAGTAACTAAATGATGCTTTCCCATGATTTGTATTTACTCTGGGAATCACTAACAGATTAGTGTCAGACGATCTTGATCTTGAAGGCTTATGTAGTGGAAGCATATCAGTGATATACTTTGGCTATACTATTAGTAGTATTTATAGCTTATTAGTATTTTCATTCCAATGCAACGGTATACTTCCACTTTCCTTCATTCCAAAGGGAATATTGAATTGTTTGAGTTCAGAAGATTGAGGGTTCAGATTTCAAAATAATTATTTGATCATTATGATGCATTTAAAAAAATACTATTTCCAATACTAATAATAATAATCCCAAGACACTATTGGAGAGGGACTTATTATTTCATTATTTCTTTCAGGATATTTTTATATTGAGTAGTAGCAATTAAGCTTTGGACACGTCTGAAACCATGGATGCCTTCACCCGATATAGTGCTGTGAATGAAACTGTTTTATACTTTTATTTGTCCAACCGCTGCTTTTATTTTAAAATCTTCTTTTTCCACAAAAAATGGAACAATCTTTTTTCACTGCAGACTTAAATGAATACTTCTACATATGAGTATGTTAGCACCCCCAAAACAGAATTGGGACTGAAAAGTGCACCTCATCCAGTGAGAGAGGGTCAGTGAGGGTCAGTGAGGTTGACTGAAATAAGAAAATAATGTTATTAGATCATTAGAAGTTTACATTTGTACATATCAGATGTTAATATGCAGTCTAAAGTATTTCAGCTCCTGTAGCTCAAACCCCACAACCATGAGGAGGAGGAAGAGGAATCTCAGCTGGTCGGTTTGTCTCTAACCCGTAAAAACAAGCAGGAGAGGCACATGCTGCTTATTTCATGATTTGTAACACTGACCTCTTTCTCCACGGCCATCCCGGACCATTTGAATTCATTTGATTTCAAATTGTCCCTTTAAGAAGTATCAGAGACCCAGAGATGTCCCACTTTGTGTGTGTGTGTGCGGGCGGGTGCACTTTGGTGTGTGAGCTCCGCCCGTGCGTGTTTATCCACATTGGCTTTGAGGCCTTGTTAGATGCCCAAAATGGCCACTTGGGGGAGCAACAATCCAATGTGTCTCCTCAACCCGCTCTGCAGAATCCTTCCTCATTTGCCGTCAATTTATTTTCATTCAAACAAAGGGTGACCATGTGAAGAACATCACATCAGTTGACAGCCTGTAAATGTGATTTAAACATTTAAGCACCATTTACCCAGATTAAGTTTAAATTGAAGAACAAATGCTATTAGGTGGAAATCTAACAGTATATGTTAAATGATGGAGGTTAGAATATTCCTACTTATTGTTGGAATCATAATGCACATTTTCAAACAGAGGCACCGTGTTACTTTGTTTTTACAGCATTCTAACTTAATACCTTTAATCTATGCTAATGTGCCTTTGCTACTAAGTAGCTTAACACCTTCATACCCCGCTAATGTTGGCCTTTTGCATTGCACCTATATAATGGTTTGTGCTGATAGACTAGATAAACACAATCTGTGGATTCATTACAATTCAACTCCTGTCCACAAACAGACACACACACACACACACAAAATGAGCATCGGTTCCTTCCCTAATCTTGCATTAATGGACCCAATCACAGACTCTATGAATAATCAATGGCCAGTGGTCTGCAACCGCAGTGCTGAGACCTTGAGTGAAACCGAATTTTCCTAATAAGACGCACACAAACACACACCTTGGGGCCCTAATAAGCCTTAATGCGCTGTGGGTTGAGAATACGTCACACGGTTTGTTTGCTGCAGAATGTGAAAGATAAACATGCTGTGTGTGTGTGTGTGTGTGTGTGTGTGTACGTATGTACCATATATTGGTGTGTGTGTGTGAAAGCAGGGACCTGTCTGTCCTCGGCCTCCCTCTCTCCTGCCTTTCCCCTCGCTGTTTTCCATAGATGACTCGTGGAGGAAACAACTGCTTTGTCTAATAGCTGCTACATTAGTCTCTTAACCAGCTGGTCATGGCCATTTAGAAATGTTCATTAGGTCGCAGACCAGAGTGGATAGGTGCGATAGTTCACTCCCCGCTGTAGACTGTGGGGACGGGAAAGGAGAGCGGCAGACAGACAGACGGGGAGAGGAGCAATTTACCCGCCAACAAGACAACCAAGTGTTAAAAGCAGCAGATGCAATTATCATCATATTGCCCTGAATAAGAACCGTGTGCGTAATGATTTCATTACGGTCTATGAGTGTTATTTCAGGGCTTTGAAAAGGTTGGATAAGCAGGACTTGATATTATGGGTTATTAATGCTGCAACATCTGGTGCCATTCTGGCAGTAGTCTGAATGTATTCTGAAGAGGACGGGAAATCCACTACGACCACACAGGGGAATACTTTTTCTTTCAGAACTTTATAGACAGAGATGATACATCTAGATTTGTGGTAATGTATAGCTCTCTATATACATGGCGGGTGTGTATGCGTGTGAATTTGTTTGCGTTGCTGACCAGTCAGAGCACATTACACACCGCAGAGGGAAATGGCGCTCTGTCGCCGGAAAAGCGATTGATTCTCCATTTCCATATTAATGAGAAGATTTGTTAAGAGCCTGCAGGAGAGGGAGGAAATAACAGGGTCTTCATAGGGCACGACATTTATAAATAAAGCTGATGCAGAGAAAAATGGAAATTAAACCTTTTAGTTTAATAAATTTCAGGCGTCCGCAGCAAAGCGAGCGATTTGCATTTCCATTTGTGGCCAAATAATGAGAGTGCGGGTGCATGAGGAGCTCGCCGGGGCTGCTTTCGGGTCTCAAACAGTTTGACAATCACTCCAGCGTGCAGCCCTCCACCTCAATGTCATTAGCACAGGCCTGTTAACTCTGCTGCTTGGCTTTCGAAGATTATTCCACAAACTACAGAATCCCGTTGTCGCTTTTGCAAAGGATGAAGCCTAAAATAAAAGTCTGTTCACTTTTCTTTCTCCTTCAACCTGAAAGTGTCTCTCTTTTTTTTCCCCGGCATATTCAACACCCTCTGGACACTCAGTTGTCCCTTTTTTAAAATGATTTTTTACTTGTTTAAAGACAATTCCGTCCTACCTTTGGCTCTGCTTCTCCCGCAAACACTTTGCACGTAGACACACACAACATGCGACGAGCAGACACACACACGCATGCCCTCGCAAAGCATCACTGATTGAATTTATTGGGAAATGGATGTTGACTAGACCACTCCAAGTAGGCTAGATTGTTGTTGTTCTCGGATTGACAGACAGACCCGGAGCGGCTGATTGAAAGTGCCTTTTAGCTCGCTCTCACTGTATATTTGATTTGGCAAAATGGGGAGTCCAGTCTTTTCCCAGGATGCAAACAGAAGCCCCCGCGTTTGTGCGGGTGCCTGTTTGTTGGTGCCATTTGCGCGGCAAACCAGCGGCTGCTTTCGCAAATGTTGCATAAAACATACACCTTTCAGGTATTAATTGAATAATGCAAGCGCTCCTCTTTGTCGGCCATCAAGTGGGCCACTTTCTCGGTGGCCCCGCGCCGCGCTCCCCGCCTGTGAATTGACTAGATTTATCGGTGTTGTTCCAGCCAATGGACGCCATTTGTTCCAAATGTTTGACATAAACATGCAAAGAGCAGAGGCGTGCACTCATAAAATAAGCTTCTAGACTGTTGTTTTACAGCCCAAAGGGACCGATGGTGGGTGGGGTGGAGGGAAGAGGGGCCTCTCTACCCACCCAATCGTGTGGAGCTCTTGCCGAGCCAACGGCGTGTTAAAGTTCCCTTTCAACCAATGGTGTGATGAAAGGGAACAATTGCCGCCATTAAGAAAGAGAGGAGAGAGGAAGCACGGAGACGGAGTGCGGTTGGAGGAGAAATGTGCAGGCTTCTGCTAAATACGCATACTTATTTCCCGAGCCTTTTACCAGGACACATCTCATTGGGCGCCTTATGTCTGCTTCCAAACCATAAAAGATATTTAGCTTTACACCTGCAGGACATTCTCTGTATTAAAGACAATATTGGCATATGGGGGCTCTGCTGAATCTGCTCTACACGCTTTCCAGTGCTGTCAAAACACCCTGGATATAAATGCAGCCTGGAAAGTATAACAGTAATAACTAGGGGTGCAACGATTCATTCACTGAATCGATTAATCGATTTATATTCGTGCGATCCAACTGAATCGATCTGTGCTCCGCAAATCGGCATTCCGGACGACATATATCGATTACAAATCGATTGAAATGGTACATAATCGATTTGTATCGATGCTTTGAAACTGCACATTGGATTTAAGCACAACAACTGTATGGATGTGTGTTTGTTTGGTTGTTTGTTTTTTAGCACTT